CCCCACCCCACACCACCTGCTGCAGATCCGCTTGCAATACCCACGTCACCCATAGCTTCAACAAAAGCAGCGCCATTGGAGAACTCAAAGTTTTCTCCAGTGCCTGAAGTTGTGCCAGCAGCCGCCATCTTGGCCGTAGCATCACCCGAGAGAGCACCATCCAGTAGTCCACCTTCATTATCATTGACTAGCACAAAAAGACAATCTAGAGGACTCCATTGTCTCTGTTGTGGAAAGCTTAAGCACTCAGGTGGTTGTTGAAAAGCCAGAGACCATCCCTTCTAAAGAATATTCCCATATTGGGAAAGAGGAAAATAATTCGGTCAATGTAAAAAGCGTGAAATCGAATCCCAGCCCTGAAAAACCCAGTTCTAAATTAAAGCAGCCTCAATCTGAGACGACATTGGTTGGTTCAGAGTCTGACGGCGATTCTGTACAAACCTCCTCAAGCCACCGATCCCACGAGGTCAAAAAGGCGACAAGTAAAGAGAGCGATTCAAAAAGAAGCTCCATGGTTTTGAAAGGGGACGATGGTGGAAAATATTCTTCATCGAAAACAAAGCCTGCAAAAGATGAGAAACATTCTAGCTATTCCAGGTCAGACAGAGACTCAAAGTACTCCTCCTACTCACGTTCCAAGTCAGATCGTGACAGGAAGCGAAGCAGGTCGAGATCGAGGTCGAGATCGAGGTCTAGATCTGACCGGGGGCGAGAGGCAGCTCTTCATATTCCAGATCTGAACGGTCACATTATTATGAGTCTGAGAGACGGTACCATAGAAGTTCTCCCTACAGAACAAGATATTCTCGCTCGTATGCAGATAGCCGAGCGAGAGACAGCTCTGACTCGGAGGATGATTATAGGAGAACCCATTCCAGATCGAGCGACTCTCGAAGGCCACCATCGTCATCTCATTCCTCCTCGTACAGAGATTCTAGGACTTCTTCGCATTCTAAATATGACAGAGATCCCAAATTAGAGTCATCTTATGACTCCGAACGAAAAGGAAGGACATCGAGCAGAACTGAAAAAGACGTCAAGTCCTCTGACAGGGAACCTACGAAGAAAGTTTCTCCTCAGAAAGAGGTGGACCTCAAAGCAGCATCTACCCATTCTAAAGTGGACAGTAGCGCGAGTTCTGCTAAATCAAATTCTTCCAAAACACCAGATGCCAAACCAGTACATGTAAATTCAGGAGTTAAAATTTCCAAATGGGATTTGGAGAAAAGGCCCGAAATTAAAGAAGGACACGTCAGAAAAGATAAAGAAGAATCTGCCTATAAGGACTTTTCCGACTACGGAAAAAGCGATCTCCAGGATTCTCCACCTACACGATCCAAAGATGCTGATCATTCTCGTATTACAGACACCAAGTCAGCAAGTGGCCAGGAGTCTAAGTGGAGAAGTTTTTCAACGGCACCATTGTTTGAAGGCCAGAGAAAAAGTCCCGTTCCCATAAACGATGACTATTCCCCTGAGCGATCATGGGATTTTGTCACCCTGAGCTCCACAGATGACGCTCCGGCAGATGAACAATCTGATGCATCACCCTCTGAAAGTAGTAACCTAGATGTAAGCAGCAACCTAGATGTAAGCAGTAACCTAGATGTTCCTCTTCATATAGAGAGTCGAGAGAACTCCTGTAGCTCACAGTGAAGTTGAACAAGGCAGTATTGTGGAGACGGACGATGGAATACATCATCTTAATGGGTTGGGCCATGATCATGGCAGTGCATCGGTCTATTCAGATCCTGAAGACAAGCCTGTCTCTTTATCAAAAAGTTGGAGAATCCTAGATGACAGTAAAAATGAGGCAATTCCTTGCCATCCTTCAGAAGGAATGGACATTTCCTTTGACCACAAGGAAGCTATGAAATTGCTAAATCCTGAATCTATTCATGTAGATGACAATCATACTGTTAAAGACACTCGAGTCAAGAAAACGGTTACAGTTTTGCCCCCAGAAAGTCTAAATGTTTCACAGGCTAAGCCTACTGACGATGACGTTTATTTGGACTCTATGCTAAAGATCTCTAAACTTTGCACACCAGTGAAGAGTGAGGAGCAAGATGACGATTGTGGTCTACCTCCCACAAAGCCTTGTACTCCAAAATCACCTGAAACTGATTCTCCCATTGAGGAAGAGACCATGGCTACCAGTAGAGAGCCCACGGCCACCAGTAGAGAGCCCTCTGCCACCAGTAGAGAGCCCTCTGCCACCAGTAGAGAGCCCTCTGCCACCAGTAGAGAGCCCTCTGCCACCAGTAGAGAGCCCACGGCCACCAGTAGAGAGCCCACGGCCACCAGTAGAGAGCCCACGGCCACCAGTAGAGAGCCCACGGCCACCAGTAGAGAGCCCACGGCCACCAGTAGAGAGCCCACGGCCACCAGTAGAGAGCCCACGGCCACCAGAAGAGAAACCAGGGCCACCAGTAGAGAGCCCTCTGCCACCAGTAGAGAGCCCTCTGCCACCAGTAGAGAGCCCTCTGCCACCAGTAGAGAGCCCTCTGCCACCAGTAGAGAGCCCTCTGCCACCAGTAGAGAGCCCACGGCCACCAGTAGAGAGCCCACGGCCACCAGTAGAGAGCCCACGGCCACCAGTAGAGAGCCCACGGCCACCAGTAGAGAGCCCACGGCCACCAGTAGAGAGCCCACGGCCACCAGTAGAGAGCCCACGGCCACCAGTAGAGAGCCCACGGCCACCAGTAGAGAGCCCACGGCCACCAGAAGAGAAACCAGGGCCACCAGTAGAGAGCCCTCTGCCACCAGTAGAGAGCCCTCTGCCACCAGTAGAGAGCCCTCTGCCACCAGTAGAGAGCCCTCGGCCACCAGTAGAGAGCCCACGGCCACCAGTAGAGAGCCCACGGCCACCAGTAGAGAGCCCACGGCCACCAGTAGAGAGCCCACGGCCACCAGTAGAGAGCCCACGGCCACCAGTAGAGAGCCCACGGCCACCAGTAGAGAGCCCACGGCCACCAGAAGAGAAAACCAGGGCCACCAGTAGAGAAACCAGGGCCACCAGTAGAGAAACCAGGGCCACCAGAAGAGAAACCAGGGCCTCCAGTAGAGAAACCAGGGCCACCAGTAGAGAAACCAGGGCCACCAGTAGAGAAACCAGGGCCACCAGTAGACAAGCCAGGGCCTCCAGTAGACAAGCCAGGGCCACCAGTAGAGAAGCCAGGGCCACCAGTAGAGAAGCCAGGGCCACCAGTAGAGAAGCCAGGGCCACCAGTAGAGAAGCCAGGGCCACCAGTAGAGAAGCCAGGGCCACCAGTAGAGAAGCCAGGGCCACCAGTAGAGAAGCCAGGGCCTCCAGTAGAGAAGCCAGGGCCTCCAGTAGAGAAGCCAGGGCCTCCAGTAGAGAGACCATGGCCACCAGTAAAGCGATGATTGAGTCTCCCAGCCACACACAAGTCTCAACTTCATTGCCAATCTTTGAAAAGGACAATGTAGACCCTACATGGCAAAATACGGAGAGAGAGGAGGCCAAACTTGTCCTCCTACCAGAGGCTCCGACTGAGCAGATAGATGTTCTAAAGGCAAATTATGAGTCTGATGAGGAAGAGCATGATTTTAGTAACCGTAACGTCCAAGGTGTTCATACTTCAGAGGAAGAGAAGACGCTACAAATGACCGCTGATAGTAGCAGACCTACAATGAACTTTATAAGTGCTGTCAGGGCATATTATTCTGACACAGAAGAGAGTGCAAGTGAAGAGAGTGAATCAGATGATACTGATTCTGATGACAGTGGTCTACCCAGGAACCGTTTGCAGTCAGTTGTGGTAGTCCCCAAAACTTCCATAATAACCATGGAAGAAGATGATCTATCACCTTCATCCCCAAGTCATCAGGAAAGTGTAGAACAATCTAATAAAAATGAAACTGCCTTATCCGAAGGCCGCACTCTGGATCAAGTAGATAGCGATTCCAATATGTCACTAGAGGAAGAACAAGCTTGTTCTCCAGAGGTGAGTTCATTTCAGGATGCAGAACCAGCTATCCTTCAAGAAAAAGCTTCTACAATTCCAGAACCAAGTGTCCCTCCAGTTGACATCTCAGAGCAGTATCTAATTCCTGTTCAGACTTCAGAAGAAGTTCCCAGTCCTCCTCAGTCTTTAGAACCTTCGTTGCGAGTTCAAACTGCTCCCATCCATGCTCAATCATCAGAGTCGACTCCAGTTCAGACTCCAGAACCAAGTTATGTTCCTGCTTCGCAAGTAGATGGTATTTCAGTGACTGAGCCAAACAATATTCATGTTCATGTGTCACAGTCGGTACAGGCATTGGAAACTGGAACTGAGCAGATTCCTATTGCTGCACAAGTACCCCGACAGCTGACTCCAGTGCCAGATCAAACCCAACAGCTGGCCCCGTTTCCGACATCCGCTTCACAACCCTGTCCTGTCCCAGTTGAAGCTCCGCAACCATATCCTCCTTCGATCGAGGTTCAGCAACCATATTCTTCTTCGATCGAGGTTCCGCAACCATATTCTTCTTCGATCGAGGTTCCGCAACCATATTCTTCTTCGATCGAGGTTCCGCAACCATATTCTTCTTCGATCGAGGTTCCGCAACCATATTCTTCTTCGATCGAGGTTCCGCAACAATTTCCTGTACCAGTGGAAGTCCAGCAACTATTTTCTGCTCCAGTTGAAGCCCCACCAACATTCTCTCTTCAGGTGCAACTGTCAGATGCTGTTGCATTCCAGGCCTCACAACCATGCCTGGTTCAAGGTCCACAGCTGGGTACATTTGCAGGCCAAATTTCACAGCTTGGCGCATTTCCTTTTCAAGCTTCACAGCAGGGGGCATTTCCAATTCAAATACCGCTATGCCCCATTCCTGTTCAAGCTCCACAGCCATGTTCTGTTCCAATTCAGCCCTCTCAGCTGGGTGTTGCAGTTCATACCCAACAACCAGACATTCCCCATCCACCTAATGATACCGATGTTAGCACCAGCCATCTTGTGACCGCCGAACATGGCAATGTTGGCGAGATGTCTACTAGAAGCAATGAGATGCAGAAGTCTTCTTTTATACCTAGCCAGACAAAACCATCTGCTTATCAGCCTGCTGCTTCAGTACCTTCTTCTAGGCCTAGTAAATTTGAACCAAAATCCCTCCATACCCCTGCTGAGAAACCAGACAGCAGGCAACAGACAACATACAGCCATGGTGCAGGGGACTTTTCCAGAACTGATGGGTTCCAGGCAGCTGAAGACTTGTCAGATCTTGGTTGGGATTTCTCTCAACCAGAGAAGCCAAGCAGCACTTACCAACCACCAGACAGCAGCTACATGTACTGTGGGTACCAGACCGGTGGTGGAGTCTGCGATCCCTCTCATAATTACGGCGAAAGCAACCCTTATTGGGATCCTGGGTGCCACAACCAAGGACCAGGATACAACTACGGCAAAACCGGTGTTCCCGTTCCCGACTCTCTCACACATTGTTACAACGAAGAAGATGACGATGTTGAGGATGATGATCTTGGTTGGGAAGATGACCACGGGCACCATCACCAGGCCAATAAGTTATACTACGACCGATCCAAGGAAACCGGATCGGTGCAAGCTCATGAAATCAGCAGCAACTCTGTGAAAGAGAACCTGGCGCGAAACGAAAAGAAGGACCAGCTCGGTAGGGACAGGAGTGAGATGAAAGAAAGGGGGCCGCCCAAAAAACGGCGGCAGGAGCTGGGGAGCGACTCAGAGAACGACGCAGAAGCCCTGGAGAAAAGGAGAGCGAAAGTGGAGGCCGGCTTGTTGGAATTCGCTGGCCAAAAACGAGGAAAAGCCGGCACCATCTGCCCTATGGACGAGTTCAGAGACGCTCAACACTGGAAGGAGTTTTCCAAACAAGGAAGAATGCCTCCTTACTTCGACCTCATTGAAGAGAACGTGTATCTAACAGAAAGGTAATGCCTGCGCTTATCCAATCTTCTTCTTATTTCAAATTACTTTCCCTTTAATTTTTGCTTTGACTGTTCCAAAAATGAATATTGTCATTTGGGTGGACATTGTCACCTTTTTAACAAATGGCCACAAAAAAAAATTACAGTGAAGGAAATGCATATGTGCTCCCCCCCCTGATGGTGAATGTTCGCCCCTCACACAGAAACGATCGGTCTAACAATGGAATGTTCGCCCCCCTCACACAGAAATGATCGGTCTAACAATGGAATGTTCGGTGTAACACTGAGAGACAGAATACAACAACAAATTCAGCAGAAATGCGTCTAACAAATGATGACGGATCTGCATGTTCATGAGGGAAAGAAGGATTTGATCCCCTTCACAAAACATGACTTAGTATTTGGTGGCCAATCCCTTTTTGGCAATCACAGAGGTCAGACGTTTCCTAGAGTTGGCCCCCAGGTTCGCACACATCTCAGGAGGGATTTTGGCCCACTCCTCTTGGCAGATCCTCTCTAACTCATTAAGGTTTGGTGGCTGACGTTTGGCAACTCGAACTTTCAGCTCCTCCACAGATTTTCAATCGGATGAAGGTGTGGAGACTGGCTAGGCCACTCCAGGACCTTAATGTGCTTCTTCTTGAGCCGCTCCTTTGTTGCCTTGGCCGTGTGTTTTGGGTCATTGTCATGCTGGAACACCCATCCTTGACCCATTTTCAGTGCCCTGGCTGAGGGAAGAAGGTTCTCACCCAAGATTTGATGGTACATTGCCCCGTCCATCGTCCATTTGATGCGGTGCAGTTGTCCTGTCCCCTTAGCAGAAAAACACCCCAAAAGCAGAATGTTTCCACCACCATGTTTCACAGTTGGGATGGTGTTCTTGGGATCATAGGCAGCATTCCTCCTCCTCCAAACACGGTGAGTTGAGTTGATGCCAAAGAGCTGGATTTTGGTCTCCTCTGACCACAACACTTCCCACCAGTCCTCCTCTGCATCATTCAGATGTTCAGTGGCAGACTTCAGACGGGCCTGGACATGGGCTTTCTTGAGCAGAGGGACCTTGCGGGCACTGCAGGATTTCAGTCCTTGTCGGCGTAGTGTGTTACCAATTGTTTTCTTGGTGACTGTGGTCCCAGCTGCCTGGAGATCATTGACAAGATCCTCACGTGTAGTTCTGGGATGATTCCTCACTGTTCTCATGATCATTGACACTCCACGAGGTGAGATCTTGCATGGTGCACCAGACCTAGGGAGACTGACACTTGTTTTGTGTTTCTTCCATTTGTGAATGATTGCACCAACTGTTGTCACCTTCTCACCAAGCTGCTTGGCCATAGTTTGGTAGCCCAGTCCAGCCTTGTGTAGGTCTACCATCTTGTCCCTGACATCCTTGGACAGCTCTTTGGTCTTTGCCATGGTGGAGAGTTTGGAATCTGATGGTTTGATGGCTCCTGTGGACAGGTGTCTTTTATACAGGGAACACAATGAGATTAGCAGCACTCCCTTTAAGAGACTGCTTCTAATCTCAGCTTGTTACCTGTATGAAAGACACCTCGTAGCCAGAAATCCTGCTGAATGATAGGGGATCCAATCCTTCTTTCCCTCATGAACATGCAGATCCGTCATCATTTGTTAGACGCATTTCTGCTGAATTTGTTGTTGTATTCTGTCTCTCAGTGTTACACCGAACATTCCATTGTTAGACCGATCGTTTCTGTGTGAGGGGAAACATTCCATTGTTAGACCGATCATTTCTATGTGAGGGGCGAACATTCCATTGTTAGACTGATCATTTCTGTGTGAGGGGCGAACATTCCATTGTTAGACCGATCATTTCTGTGTGAGGGGCGAACATTCCATTGTTAGACCGATCGTTTCTGTGTGAGGGGCGAGCATTCAGCATCAGCCGGGGAGCAAATACGCATTTCCTTCACTGTGACTTTTACACAAACCAAAGTACACTTATTGGAATTTTTTTTTAACCAAAGACATGTAGCAGAATACATTTTGGCCAAAAGTTATAAAGAGTTGTTTTTCTTTTTTTTTTTTTCATTGGACATGCTTTATAAGAGAAAGTAAAAATAGAAAAAAAAAAAAAATAAATATATATATATGTGTATAATTTTTTTTTTTTCTTCAAAATTATTGTTCTTTTTTTATTTATATCCCAATATATTAAAAAAAAAAACCCAGAGAAGATCAAATACAACCAAAAGAAAGCTCTATTTATGTGAAAATTAAAAAAAAATTATATAAATTACATTTTGGTTACAGCGTTGCAATTGCCAGTTGAAGTAGCGCAGTTCCGCATAGCAAAAAGAAATGGGTAACTGAACATTTAGAATTCCTATTTTATTTTTTGTAAATGGCCCGATCAAATCTGATGAATTAATATCAGTTGGCGTATTATTTAATTTTTTTTTTTTTTCTTCAAAATTGTTGATCTTTTTTCATTTATATCCCAATATATAAAAAAAAAACTGAAAAGATCAAAAAGCTCTATTTTATGTGAAAAAAAAATTATATAAATTACATTTTGGGTACAGCGTTGCAATTGCCAGTTGAAGTAGCGCAGTTCACATAGCAAAAAAAAAAAATGGGTAACTGAACATTAGAAATCCTATTATATTTTTCGTAAATGGCCCAATCAAACATGGATTAATATCAGTCGGCGTACTATTTTTTTGTTTTTTATTTTATATGCTTTATAAGAGAAAGTAAAAAAAAAATGTTTTTTTTCTTCAAAATTGTTGATCTTTTTTTCGTCTATATCCCAATATATTAAAAAAAAAACCCAGAGAAGATAAAATACCGCCAAAAGAAAGCTCTATTTATGTGAAAAAATTTAATATATATATATATATTTTTTTTAATTTTGGGTACAGCATTGCAATTGCCAGATGAAGTAGCGCAGTGCCGCATAGCAAAAAATGACCTGGTCATAAAGGGGGTAACTGAACATTGGAAATCCTACTTTATTTTTCGTGAATGGCCCAATCAAATCTGATGGATTAATATCAGTCGGCGTATTATTTAATTTTTTTTTATTTTATATGCTTTAGAAGAGTTCGTAAAAAAAAAAAAATTTTTTTTTTTTTTCTTCAAAATTGTTGATCTTTTTTCGTTTATAGCCCAATATATATATATAAAAAAAACCCAGAAAAGATCAAATAGCTCTATTTTATGTGAAAAAAAAAAATTATATAAATTAAATTTTGGGTACAACGTTGCAATTGCCAGTTGAAGTAGCGCAGTGCCGCATAGCAAATAAAAAATGGGTAACTGAACATTAGAAATCCTATTTTTTTTTCGTAAATGGCCCAATCAAATATTGATTATTATCAGTCGGCGTACTATTTTTTTTTATTTTATATGCTTTATAAGAGAAAGTAAAAAAAAAATGTTTTTTTTCTTCAAAATTGTTGATCTTTTTTCGTCTATATCCCAATATATTAAAAAAAAAACCCAGAGAAGATAAAATACCGCCAAAAGAAAGCTCTATTTATGTGAAAAAATTTAATATATATATATATTTTTTTTTTAATTTTGGGTACAGCATTGCAATTGCCAGATGAAGTAGCGCAGTGCCGCATAGCAAAAAATGACCTGGTCATAAAGGGGGTAACTGAACATTGGAAATCCTACTTTATTTTTCGTGAATGGCCCAATCAAATCTGATGGATTAATATCAGTCGGCGTATTATTAAATTTTTTTTTTTTATTTTATATGCTTTAGAAGAGTTAGTGAAAAAAAAATAAAATTTTTTTTTTCTTCAAAATTGTTGATCTTTTTTCATTTATATCCCAATATATATATTTATATATATATATATATATATATATATATATATTATATATATATATATATATATATATATATATATAATATATATAAGAAAAAAACAGAAAAGATCAAATAGCTCTATTTTATGTGAAAAAAAAATTATATAACTTACATTTTGGGTACAAGGTTGCAATTGCCAGTTGAAGTAGCGCAGTGCCGCATAGCAAAAAAAAATGGGTAACTGAACATTTAGAAATCCTTTTTTTTTTTTTTTTTTTTTTTTTTTCGTAAATGGCCCAATCAAATCTGACGGATTATCGGTCGGCGTGCTGTTTTATTTTTGCGCTTTTGTTCCCCGCACACGCGTGTTGTAATGATCCGTGTCTTTGTAGGAAGAAGAATAAGAGTCACCGGGACATTAAGAGGATGCAGTGTGAGTGTCCTCTGCTCTCCAAGGAGGAGAGGGTCCAAGGAGACGTGGCCTGCGGAGAGGATTGTCTCAATCGGCTGCTCATGATCGAGTGGTAAGTCTGTGTATGGGTGCCTGTACGGAGGCAATGGAATGAATACTAGATCGGGCAGCCAGTGCACGGCCCGGGGTCAGGTGGGGTGGTATTGTGTAAAGCCATGCAGAGCTCCAGGATCTGGCTGTTCTAGTTACCCTCGTTGTCTATGAAGAATCCCGCTCTATGCAGAGTCCTTGTCTATGAAGGGATCCCGCTCTATGCAGAGTCCTTGTCTATGAAGAATCCCGCTCTATGCAGAGTCCTTGTCTATGAAGAATACGGCTCTATGCAGAGTCCTTGTCTATGAAGAATCCCGCTCTATGCAGAGTCCTTGTCTATGAAGAATGCGGCTCTATGCAGAGTCCTTGTCTATGAAGAATGCGGCTCTATGCAGAGTCCTTGTCTATGAAGAATACGGCTCTATGCAGAGTCCTTGTCTATGAAGAATCCGGCTCTGTGCAGAGTCCTTGTCTATGAAGGGATCCCGCTCTATGCAGAGTCCTTGTCTATGAAGAATCCCGCTCTATGCAGAGTCCTTGTCTATGAAGACCGCTCTATGCAGAGTCCTTGTCTATGAAGAACCCCGCTCTATGCAGAGTCCTTGTCTATGAAGAATACGGCTCTATGCAGAGTCCTTGTCTATGAAGACCGCTCTATGCAGAGTCCTTGTCTATGAAGCCCGCTCTATGCAGAGTCCTTGTCTATGAAGGGATCCCGCTCTATGCAGAGTCCTTGTCTATGAAGAATCCGGCTCTATGCAGAGTCCTTGTCTACGAAGAACCCCGCTCTATGCAGAGTCCTTGTCTACGAAGAACCCCGCTCTATGCAGAGTCCTTGTCTATGAAGAATGCGGCTCTGTGCAGAGTCCTTGTCTATGAAGAATCCCGCTCTATGCAGAGTCCTTGTCTATGAAGAATCCCGCTCTATGCAGAGTCCTTGTCTATGAAGGGATCCCGCTCTATGCAGAGTCCTTGTCTATGAAGGGATCCCGCTCTATGCAGAGTCCTTGTCTATGAAGGGATCCCGCTCTATGCAGAGTCCTTGTCTATGAAGAATCCCGCTCTATGCAGAGTCCTCGTCTATGAAGGGATCCCGCTCTATGCAGAGTCCTTGTCTATGAAGACCGCTCTATGCAGAGTCCTTGTCTATGAAGGGATCCCGCTCTATGCAGAGTCCTTGTCTACGAAGAACCCCGCTCTATGCAGAGTCCTTGTCTACGAAGAACCCCGCTCTATGCAGAGTCCTTGTCTACGAAGAACCCCGCTCTATGCAGAGTCCTTGTCTACGAAGAACCCCGCTCTATGCAGAGTCCTTGTCTACGAAGAACCCCGCTCTATGCAGAGTCCTTGTCTACGAAGAACCCCGCTCTATGCAGAGTCCTTGTCTACGAAAAACCCCGCTCTATGCAGAGTCCTTGTCTACGAAGAACCCCGCTCTATGCAGAGTCCTTGTCTACGAAGAACCCCGCTCTATGCAGAGTCCTTGTCTACGAAGAACCCCGCTCTATGCAGAGTCCTTGTCTACGAAGAACCCCGCTCTATGCAGAGTCCTTGTCTACGAAGAACCCCGCTCTATGCAGAGTCCTTGTCTACGAAGAACCCCGCTCTATGCAGAGTCCTTGTCTACGAAGAACCCCGCTCTATGCAGAGTCCTTGTCTACGAAGAACCCCGCTCTATGCAGAGTCCTTGTCTACGAAGAACCCCGCTCTATGCAGAGTCCTTGTCTACGAAGAACCCCGCTCTATGCAGAGTCCTTGTCTACGAAGAACCCCGCTCTATGCAGAGTCCTTGTCTACGAAGAACCCCGCTCTATGCAGAGTCCTTGTCTACGAAGAACCCCGCTCTATGCAGAGTCCTTGTCTATGAAGACCGCTCTATGCAGAGTCCTTGTCTATGAAGACCGCTCTATGCAGAGTCCTTGTCTATGAAGACCGCTCTATGCAGAGTCCTTGTCTATGAAGACCGCTCTATGCAGAGTCCTTGTCTATGAAGACCGCTCTATGCAGAGTCCTTGTCTATGAAGACCGCTCTATGCAGAGTCCTTGTCTATGAAGACCGCTCTATGCAGAGTCCTTGTCTATGAAGACCGCTCTATGCAGAGTCCTTGTCTATGAAGACCGCTCTATGCAGAGTCCTTGTCTATGAAGACCGCTCTATGCAGAGTCCTTGTCTATGAAGACGGCTCTATGCAGAGTCCTTGTCTATGAAGACGGCTCTATGCAGAGTCCTTGTCTATGAAGAAGACGGCTCTATGCAGAGTCCTTGTCTATGAAGAATCCGGCTCTATGCAGAGTCCTTGTCTATGAAGAATCCGGCTCTATGCAGAGTCCTTGTCTATGAAGAATCCGGCTCTATGCAGAGTCCTTGTCTATGAAGAATCCGGCTCTATGCAGAGTCCTTGTCTATGAAGAATCCGGCTCTATGCAGAGTCCTTGTCTATGAAGAATCCGGCTCTATGCAGAGTCCTTGTCTATGAAGAATCCGGCTCTATGCAGAGTCCTTGTCTATGAAGAATCCGGCTCTATGCAGAGTCCTTGTCTATGAAAAATCCCGCTCTATGCAGAGTCCTTGTCTATGAAGAATCCGGCTCTATGCAGAGTCCTTGCATAGAGCGGGATTCTTCATAGACGAGGACTCTGCATAGAGCGAGATTCTTCATAGACGAGGACTCTGCATAGAGCGGGATTCTTCATAGACGAGGACTCTGCATAGAGCCGGATTCTTCATAGACAAGGACTCTGCATAGAGCCGGATTCTTCATAGACAAGGACTCTGCATAGAGCCGGATTCTTCATAGACAAGGACTCTGCATAGAGCGGGATTCTTCATAGACAAGGACTCTGCATAGAGCGGGATCCCTTCAGACAAGGACTCTGCATAGAGCGGGATTCTTCATAGACAAGGACTCTGCATAGAGCCGGATTCTTCATAGACAAGGACTCTGCATAGAGCGGGATCCCTTCAGACAAGGACTCTGCATAGAGCGGGATTCTTCGTAGACGAGGACTCTGCATAGAGCCGGATTCTTCGTAGACGAGGACTCTGCATAGAGCCGGATTCTTCGTAGACAAGGACTCTGCATAGAGCCGGATTCTTCGTAGACAAGGACTCTGCATAGAGCCGTATTCTTCATAGACAAGGACTCTGCATAGAGCGGGATCCCTTCAGACAAGGACTCTGCATAGAGCGGGATTCTTCATAGACAAGGACTCTGCATAGAGCGGGATTCTTCATAGACAGAGTCCTTGTCTATGAAGAATCCCGCTCTATGCAGAGTCCTTGTCTGAAGGGATCGCTCTATGCAGAGTCCTTGTCTATGAAGAATCCGGCTCTATGCAGAGTCCTCGTCTACGAAGAATCCGGCTCTATGCAGAGTCCTCGTCTACGAAGAATCCGGCTCTATGCAGAGTCCTCGTCTACGAAGAATCCCGCTCTATGCAGAGTCCTCGTCTATGAAGAATCCCGCTCTATGCAGAGTCCTTGTCTATGAAGAATCCCGCTCTATGCAGAGTCCTTGTCTTTTATTATCTGTGTTATTATTGTGCCTTGCTGTGTTCTCACTCCCGGATGTTGTGTTGCGCAGCTCCTCCAGGTGTCCGAACGGCGATTACTGCTCCAACCGGCGTTTTCAGAGGAAGCAGCACGCCAACGTGGAGGCCATCCTGACGGAGAAGAAAGGTTGGGGTCTCCGGGCCGGCAGCGACCTGAAGCCGTAAGGATGTTGTGTATATGACCGATTGTTGATTGGTGCCGGTCCTGCTGACGGTGCAGCTTCTGACCAATGGTGTGCTCCCCCCACAGGAATACATTTGTCCTGGAGTACTGCGGGGAAGTTCTGGATCACAAGGAGTTCAAGGCGCGTGTGAAGGAGTACGCCCGGAACAAGAACATCCACTATTATTTCATGGCGCTGAAGAATGACGAGGTAGGATCCTCCGGGACCCCTCCCCTCTTCCCTGCTCCTCCGGGGACCCCTCCCCTCTTCCCTGCTCCTCCGGGGACCCCTCCCCTCTTCCCTGCTCCTCCGGGGACCCCTCCCCTCTTCCCTGCTCCTCCGGGGACCCCTCCCCTCTTCCCTGCTCCTCCGGGGACCCTTCCCCTCTTCCCTGCTCCTCCGGGGACCCCTCCCCTCTTCCCTGCTCCTCTGGGGACCCCTCCCCTCTTCCCTGCTCCTCCGGGGACCCCTCCCCTCTTCCCTGCTCCTCCGGGGACCCCTCCCCTCTTCCCTGCTCCTCCGGGGACCCCTCCCCTCTTCCCTGCTCCTCCGGGGACCCCTCCCCTCTTCCCTTCCTCCGGGGACCCATCCCCTCTTCCCTGCTCCTCCGGGGACCCATCCCCTCTTCCCTGCTCCTCCGGGGACCCCTCCCCTCTTCCCTGCTCCTCCGGGGACCCGTCCCCTCTTCCCTGCTCCTCCGGGGACCCCTCCCCTCTTCCCTGCTCCTCCGGGACCCCTCCCCTCTTCCCTGCTCTTCAGGGGACCCGTCCCCTCTTCCCTGCTCCACCGGGGACCCCTCCCCTCTTCCCTCCTCCTCCGGGGTCCCGTCCCCTCCTCCTCCGGGGACTCCTCCCCTCTTCCCTGCTCCTCCGGGGACTCCTCCCCTCTTCCCTGCTCCTCCGGGGACCCCTCCCCTCTTCCCTGCTCCTCCGGGGACCCCTCCCCTCTTCCCTGCTCCTCCGGGGACCCGTCCCCTCTTCCCCTGCTCCTCCGGGGACCCGTCCCTCTTCCCTGCTCCTCCGGGTACCCCTCCCCTCTTCCCTCCTCCGGGGACCCCTCCCCTCTTCCCTCCTCCTCCGGGGTCCCATCCCCTCGACCCCTCCCCTCTTCCCTGCTCCTCCGGGGACCCCTCCCCTCTTCCCTGCTCCTCCGGGGACCCCTCCCCTCTTCCCTGCTCCTCCGGGGACCCCTCCCTTCTTCCCTGCTCCTCCGTGGTCCCGTCCCCTCTTCCCTGCTCCTCCCCGGACCCCACATTCACTATATCCGCTCTCCCCGGACCCCGCATTCACTATATCCGCTCTCCCCGGACCCCGCATTCACTATATCCGCTCTCCCCGGACCCCGCATTCACTATATCCGCTCTCCCCGGACCCCGCATTCCCTATATCCGCTCTCCCCGGTCCCCCGCATTCACTATATCCGCTCTCCCCGGACCCCGCATTCACTATATCCGCTCTCCCCGGACCCCGCATTCACTATATCCGCTCTCCCCGGACCCCGCATTCACTATATCCGCTCTCCCCGGACCCCGCATTCACTATATCCGCTCTCCCCCCGGACCCCGCATTCACTATATCCGCTCTCCCCGGACCCCGCATTCACTATATCCGCTCTCCCCGGACCCCGCATTCACTATATCCGCTCTCCCCGGACCCCGCATTCACTATATCCACTCTCACTATATCCGCTCTCCCCGGACCCCGCATTCACTATATCCGCTCTCCCCGGACCCCGCATTCACTATATCCGCTCTCCCCGGACCCCGCATTCACTATATCCGCTCTCCCCGGACCCCGCATTCACTATATCCGCTCTCCCCGGACCCCGCATTCACTATATCCTCTCTCCCCGGACCCCGCATTCACTATATCCACTCTCACTATATCCGCTCTCCCCGGACCCCGTATTCCCTATATCCGCTCTCCCCGGACCCCGCATTCACTATATCCGCTCTCCCCGGACCCCGCATTCACTATATCCGCTCTCCCCGGACCCCGCATTCACTATATCCGCTCTCCCCGGACCCCGCATTCACTATATCCGCTCTCCCCGGACCCCGTATTCACTGTATCCGCTCTCCCCGGAGCCTGCATTCACTATATCCGCTCTCCCCCCGGACCCCGTATTCACTATATCCGCTCTCCCCGGACCCCGCATTCACTATATCCGCTCTCCCCGGACCCTGCATTCCCTATATCCGCTCTCCCCGGACCCCGCATTCACTATATCCGCTCTCCCCCCGGACCCCGCATTCACTATATCCACTCTCACTATATCCGCTCTCCCCGGACCCCGTATTCCCTATATCCGCTCCCCCCCCCGGACCCCGCATTCACTATATCCGCTCTCCCCGGACCCCGCATTCACTATATCCGCTCTCCCCCGGAGCCTGCATTCACTATATCCGCTCTCCCCCGACCCCGCATTCACTATATCCGCTCTCCCCGGACCCCGCATTCACTATATCCGCTCTCCCGGACCCCGCATTCACTATATCCGCTCTCCCCGGACCCCGCATTCACTATATCCGCTCTCCCCGGACCCCGCATTCACTATATCCGCTCTCCCCGGACCCCGCATTCACTATATCCGCTCTCCCCGGACCCCGCATTCACTACATCCGCTCTCCCCGGACCCCGCATTCACTATATCCGCTCTCCCCGGACCCCCCATTCACTGTATCCTCTCTCCCCGGACCCCGCATTCACTATATCCGCTCTCCCAGGACCCCGCATTCACTATATCCTCTCTCCCCGGACCCCGCATTCACTATATCCGCTCTCCCCGGACACCGCATTCACTATATCCGCTCTCCCCGGACACCGCATTCACTATACCTGTTTTTGACTTTTTTCTCTATGCATTTCTACAGGTGTTTTTTCATTTGTGCTTTTTTTGCCATCTTGTTGCTGAGCAGGTTAAAAACGCATAAAAAATGCAATCTGTATGCATTTTTTCTGATGCATTTTGAATGCATTTCAGGCCTGGTTCACACCAATGCCGTTTGCATTTTGTCAGTTTTGCAGTGAACTTTGCGTTTTTTTGTACGTACATTTTTGACCCTTTTTTTTTTGTTTTGTTTGTTTGTTTTTTTTCTTTGTGTGTTTTTTTTTTTTTTTTGGCCAAATTGTTGGTGGGAAAATTAAAAACGCAAAGCACATCAAGAACGCACTACGTGCATTTTCTGCAGCGTCTCCATTGCAGCCTTTTGAACCACAATCGCACCATTTCGGGCTTGAAAAAGTCCCTGAACCTTTCCAAAAATTCAGCTCAAAAAAGCCCAGATGGGAACGGGTCCCATAGGAAGCCATGGGAAATGGACTGCGGTATGTTTCTGCAAAAAAAGCGCTTAAAAACGCATTGGTATGAACGCAGGCCTGATGGGGAGGTGATGGGGAGGGGCTGTTCTGGTGCCTTTTTTTTTTTTTTTTTTTGTTTTGTTTTTTTTTTTTTCTTGTTAAATACGTCCCAAAAATGCGGCAAGCAGGACCTTTAACACCACAAGGGAAGCACAGCAGACCAGTTTGAAGACGTGCATTGAATTTAAAGGGATGCATTTTTCTTTTCTTCTTTCTTTTTATTTTTTCTTTTCTTTTGCTTTTCTTGCACCTTTTTTTTTCTTTTTGCTTTCCTTGCATTTTTTTTTTTTCTTTTTGCTTTTCTTGCACACTTTTTTTCTTTCTTTTTTGCTTTTCTTGCACCTTTTTTTTTTCCTTTTTTTTTTTTTTTGCTTTTCTTGCACTTTTTTTTTTTTTTTGCTTTTTTGCTTTCCTTGCATCTTTTTTTTTCTTTTTGCTTTTCTTGCATCTTTTTTTTTTCTTTTTTGCTTTTCTTGCACCTTTTTTTTCTTTCTTTTTGCTTTTCTTGCACCTTTTTTTTCTTTCTTTTTGCTTTTCTTGCACCCTTTTTTTCTTTCTTTTTGCTTTTCTTGCACCTTTTTTTTTCCTTTTTTTTTTTTTTTGCTTTTCTTGCACTTTTTTTTTTTTTTTTGCTTTTCTTGCACCTTTTTTTTTTTTTTTTTGCTTTTCTTGCACCCTTTTTTACTTTCTTTTTGCTTTTTTTTTTTCTGCACCTTTTTTTTTTCTTTTTGCTTTTCTTGCACCTTTTTTTTCTTTCTTTTTGCTTTTTTTTTTGCACACTTTTTTTTTTTTGCTTTTTGCTTTTCTTGCATCTTTTTTTTTCTTTTTGCTTTCCTTGCACCTTTTTTTTTTCTTTTTTTGCTTTCCTTGCACCTTTTTTTTTCTTTTTGCTTTTCTTGCACCTTTTTTTTTTTTTTTTGCTTTTCTTGCATCTTTTTTTTTTGCTTTTCTTGCACCTTTTTTTTTTTCTTTTTGCTTTCCTTGCATCTTTTTTTTTCTTTTTGCTTTTCTTGCACCTTTTTTTCTTTCTCTTTTTGCTTTTCTTGCACCTTTTTTTTTTTTTTCTTTTTGCTTTTCTTGCACCTTTTTTTTTTCTTTTCTTGCACCTTTTTTTTGCTTTTTTGCTTTTCTTGCACCTTTTTTCTTTTCTTTTGCTTTTCTTTTTCCTTTTTTTATTTTCTTGCACCTTTTTTTTTTTCTTTTTTTGCTTTTCTTTTTATTTTTTTTTTTATTTTCTTGCACTTTTTTTCTTTCTTTTTTCTTTTACTTTTTTTTTTTTTTTGTTTAAAAAAAAACGCAAAAGCGCTTTCAAATCTGCTCAGTGTAAAAGCAGCCTATTGGCCGACAAGGTGCTAAAAAATTTTAATTTTCATTTAAATATATGATATTAATTAAAAAGTCGAATATAATGAAATATATACAATTTTATATATTTAAAAAAAATTAAAATGGGAAAAATAAAACTGTCCATTTCGGTTTTCCTGAATTTTTGTTTTCGGTTGAAGCTTTGCTTTGCACCACTAATTACAATGCAGCTCAGTACAGAAGGAATAGGAGGGCCTCGCACACACAGCTTACAATCTATCAGGGATGGCCGGCGCCATACACAAAAAAAAAAAAATGAACGCTCCACTGTATAATAATTTATCGGAATTGAATTCCTCCGATGTTCTGGATCACCACATCCTGGGGTTCCAGATTTCTTCTGGCCAGGAAGGCGGTCCCATCTGAACACTTGTTCTAGAACCGACTGTATTGTGTCCGGGCAGCCAATCAGACGCAGGCTGTTATTTCTCAACTGTTATTTTTCCAAAGCAGGTTTCACTACGATTGGCCGCTGCGGGTCAGTTATTTTCGCAGTTCTTATTTCCTACTTTTGGGTAAAACTAGATTATTTGGATGGATTTTTAAAAAAAAAAAAGAAAAAATAATTAATTTCTTGTCTTTTTTATTAGATCATCGACGCGACGCAGAAAGGGAACTGTTCACGTTTTATGAACCACAGCTGCGACCCGAACTGCGAGACGCAGAAGGTGAGGACGGCGGTGATTCTAAAGTCCACTTGCTTATACATTGACTTCTGTTTTTTTTTTTTTTTTTATTGCTACGACCTTCTGACTCCACCCAGCTTTTTAAAATTTAAAATCGGTTCTCCTCGGGGGGTTTAGTTACATAGTTAGTCTGGCTGAAAAAAGACAAAAATCCAGCCATAAAAAAAAAAATAAGTGTCAAGCTCGGGTGTGTACAGGCTGAGCGTCTGCTGGCCCTCCTCCCCTGTCTGATTTGAAACTTTTGTTCATCCCCTGTGAAAGCAATAAAGTTAATCCCCCCAAAAAATTAGTGTATAAAAAAAGAAAAAAAAGTGTATAGAAAAAAGAAAAAAAATAAGTGTAAAAAAAAAAAGAAGAAATAAAAAAAAATGATTGTATAAAAAAGTGTATATAAAAAAAAAAACGAAAAAAAATGAGTGTATAAAAAAAAGAAAAAAAAAATAGTGTATTATAAAAAAGAAATAAAAAAATGATCATATAAAAAAAAAAAAGAAAACAAATTAGTGTATTAAAAAAAAAAAAAGAAATAAAAAAAATTAGTGTATTAAAAAAAAAGAAATAAAAAAATGATCATATAAAAAAAAAGAAAAAAAATTAGTGTATTAAAAAAAAGAAGAAATAAAAAAAATTAGTGTATTAAAAAAAAAGAAATAAAAAAATGATCATAGAAAAAAAAAAGAAAAAAAATTAGTGTATTAAAAAAAAGAAGAAATAAAAAAAATTAGTGTATTAAAAAAAAAAAAAAAAAAATGATTGTATATATATAAACAAAAATAAAAAAATTAGTGTATATAAAAAAAAAAGGAAAAAAAATGATGTATAAAAGAAAAAAATGAGTGTATAAAAAAAATTAAAGAAATTAGTGTATTAAAAAAAAAAAGAAGAAATAAAAAAAAAGAATGTATTAAAAAAAAAAGAAATAAAAAAATGATCATAGAAAAAAAAAAGAAAACAAATTGGTGTATTAAAAAAAAAAAGAAGAAATAAAAAAAAATAATGTATTAAAAAAAAGAGAAATAAAAAAAATGATCATAGAAAAAAAAAAGAAAAAAAATTAGTGTATTAAAAAAAAGAAGAAATAAAAAAATATAGTGTGTTAAAAAAAAAATAAAAAATTATTGTATATATATAAACAAAAATAAAAAGATTAGTGTATATAAAAAAAAGGAAAAAAAATGATGTATAAAAGAAAAAAGGGTGTATAAAAAAAATTTAAGAAATTAGTGTATTAAAAAAAAAAGAAGAAATAAAAAAAATAGTGTATTAAAAAAAAAAGAAATAAAAAAAATGATCATATAAAAAAAAAAGAAAACAAATTAGTGTATATAAAAAAAAGAAAAAAATGAGTGTATAAAAAAAAATTAAAAAAATGAGTGTATAAAAAAAAAGAAACAAATGAGTGTATTAAAAAAAAAAAGATGAAATAAAAATAAAATTAATGTATAAAAAAAAAAAGAAAAAAAAATTAGTGTATAAATAAAAATTTTAAATAGAAATAAAAAAAAACAAAAACGAAAGCACGTAAGTTCGCACATGTGTAAACGGCAATCGTACCACACGAGGGGGGGGGGGGAGTGTCCACAGTTGAAGGGGTGGTTAAGGTAAAAAAAAAAAACACTACGTAAAGCTCCAAGGAGCAGGGCCCTCCTGAGTCTCTTGTATTGAACTGTATTGTCTTCCGTTATATAGTACAGCGCTGAGAAAACTGTTGGTGCCATAAATCCTGTATAATAATAATAAGAAAAAAAAAATGTAAAAAAAAGAAACAACACGTAAAAAAAAAAACTTAAAAAAAAAAAACGTAACAAAAAAAACAAAAACGTTATAAAACAAAAAAAAAAACAAAACAAAAAAAATCTAAATAAACCCCCAAAATTAAAAAAAAAAAATAAAAAATAAAAAAAATACAAACCAAAAAAAAAAAACCTTCTGCCTTTATAACCACCAAGTTTATGGGGTGAAGTCTCAGGACAAGGAAGTAAGGGAAAATGTCCAGATGGGGTCACAAATGGGAACAGCCTGGAATTTGAACATGTATGTGCATCCTACCCGTGCAAACCCGCTCAGTCGTAGGAGCACCTACATCAGTGTTCTCGAATGAGCTCTCTAAATACCTTTTTTTTTTTTTTTTTTTTTTTTTTTTTTTTTTGTAAAGGGGTTGCAATGGCTGCCATCCCAGTTGGGCAGCGGAGTGGGTGTCCCTCCCCCCAAATACGGATGGCGTGCGTACAGGAGACACGCCCCCCGCATGGCTCTCCGATTTGGGATGAGCGGGCCGGATCCTTCTCACACGCACACTGACGATCACATGTTGTGTCTCCCCACAGTGGACGGTAAATGGGGCAGATTCGGGTCGGCTTTTTTACCACCCGATTTGTTCCCCCGCCGGCGCAGAGTTGACCTTTGACTACCAGTTTCAACGTTATGGGTAAGCGGAACCAACATTGCTGAACGTTGTTTGTAACATGTAACATGTGACCAGGGAAGCGAACCCGCCTCAGGTGATACACGGGGAGTAAACAAATCCTCCTACGTGAGTTGTACCTGTGTATCTGCTGCAACCTTTTCTCTACAGGTGTCCAAAATTTATACAGCTTGTCTGAGCTTGTAGGAAATGGGGTGGGGAGCTGATTTTACACTCTGCAGAGGTCAGTGAGAGCTGATTGGAGGGAAGCGACCCCCCCCCCCCCCCCCCCCACCACCACCACCACTGTCATTCAACACAGGCTGTGTGCTGGAGATCCCTCCCGTCTTTTTTTTTTTTTTTTTTCCTCTTGGTGTCAGGAAAATGTGTCAGAAGTGACTCAGTGGAAGGAGAAACGGCAGACAGAAATGACACTCAGTTGCTCTGGACTGAGACAAGTACACACTATAGAGGGATGCGCTTTGTTCATATTTCATGTCTGAGGTTTACAACCACTTTAAATGTCTGTATTATTCTACTGCGGTAACATAGATATATTTTTTTGGTAAAGTCTCTTTTAAAGGCATAGTTCGCTTTTTTAGACCATGTTTCATAGAATTGGGGTCTCCTAAAGCCCCCCCCCCTCCCCCACCCTTTGAATGACCAGGGTGCTTCTTACTGTAGGTGGTTGTAATTCAGCCCGGCTCCATCGGGCATCATTCATTCACCTGAAGATACTGCAACTCCTGTATCCCACCCACTTCCTCCAGCCACATAGCAGAGGGTCTGTACCTCTGCATCGGCCTGGGGGGGGGGGGGGGTAGGCAAAGCAAAGACCCCGTGTATTGCACCTGCGACACGTTGATTGCGGCTCCTCTGCACAGGAATGGGGCACTGTGGCCCTGAAGAGTGTGGGAGGAGCATAGAGAGGGGTCAGTACCACTGGTGAGGGAGTACGGAAAATATACACTGTGACTGAGCATCACAAACCCCCCCCCCCCCCCCCATTTCTGGCCGAGGCCATGTGGAGTAAGGGCAGATAATTCATGTAGCATAAACTCCCCTGGAATCCATCTGCCCTCAGCTCAGCATACAGACAGGAGGGTGTGCTTAGCTGAGAAAACCCCTCCTCTCCTCCTGGGGGCTCCTGGGATGTATGACAACATTTTTATACTGTATGTATATTTTATTATTATTGATGATAATGTTGGTTTATATAGCAGATGTGTATAAATTTAAAAAAAAATCCCTTCTCTTCCCCCCCTCCTCTCCCCCCCCTCCACTCCCCCCATCCCCCCCCCCCCCCCCTCCCCTCTCCCCCATCCCCCCCCTCCCCCCTCCTCTCCTCCCCCCCTCCTCTCCTCCTCCCCCTCCCCCCTCCTCTCCTCCCCCCACTCCTCTCCTCCCCCCCTCCCCCTCCTCCCCTCCTCCCTCCACCTCCCTCCCCCCCTTGCTCCTCTCCTCCCCCCCTCCCCCCTCCTCTCCTCCCCCCCTCCCCCCTCCTCTCATCCCCCCTCCTCTCATCCCCCCTCCTCTCTCCCCCTCATCCTCCTCCTCCTCCCCCCTCCTCTCCTCCCCCCCTCCTCCCCCCCCCCCCTCCTCTTCCCCTCCTCTCCCCCCCCCCTCCTCTTCCCCCTTCTTCCCCCCCCCTCCTCTTCCCCTTCTCCCCCCCCTCCTCTTCCCCTTCTCCCCCCCCCCTCCTCCCCTTCTTCCCCCCTCCCTCCTCTTCACCTTCTCCCCCCCTCCTCTTCCCCTCCTCTCCCCCCCCGTCCTCTCTCTCTCCTCTCCCCCCTCCTCTCTCTCTCCTCTCCCCCCTCCTCTCTCTCCTCTCTCCCCCCTCCTCTCTCTCTCTCTCCTCCCCCCTCCTCTCTCTCTCTCTCCCCCCCCCCCCCTCTCTCTCTCCTCTCCCTCCTCTCTCTCCTCCCCCTCCTCTCTCTCTCTCTCTCTCTCCTCCCCCTCCAGCTCTCTCTCTCTCTCCTCCCCCTCCTCTCTCTCTCTCTCCTCTCTCCCCCCCCTCTCTCTCTCCTCCCCCCCCCCTCTCTCCTCTCTCTCTCTCCTCTCTTCTCTCTCTCCTCTCTCTCTCTCTCCATCTCCTCTCTCTCCTCTCTCTCTCCTCTCTCTCCTCTCTTCCCCCTCCTCTCTCTCCTCTCTCTCCTCTCTTCCCCCTCCTCCTCTCTCTCACTCTTTTCCCCCTCCTCTCTCTCTCCTCTCTCTCCCTCCCCCCCCCTCTCTTTTCTCTCCTCTCCCTCCTCTCCCTCTCTCTCTCTCCCCCTCTCCTCTCTCTCTCTCTCCACCCCTCTCTCTCACCCTCTCTCTCCACCCCTCTCCTCCCCCCTCACTCTCCCACCCCTCTCTCTCCACCCCTCTCTCTCCACCCCCTCTCCTCTCCAACCCCCTCTCTCAATCTCCCCCCTCTCTCCTCTCCACCCCCTCTCCCCTCACCTCCCCCCCCCTCTCTCTCCTCTCCACCCCCTCTCCCCTCCACTCTCCACCCCCCCCCTCACTCTCCCCCCTCCTCCCCACTCTCCACCCCCCCCCCTCCCTCTCCCACCCCCCCCCCCCCCCCCCCCCCCCCCTCCCCCCCTCCTCCCCCCCCCCCTCCCCCCCCCCCCCCCCCCCCCCTCTCACCCCCCCCCCTCCCCCCACCCCCTCTCCTCCCCCCCCCTCCTCTCACCCCCCCCCCCTCTCCCCCCTCTCCTCACCCCCCCCCTCCTATCTCACCCCCCCCCTCTTCTCCCCCCCCCCCCCCTCTATCTCACCCCCCCCCTATCTCACCCCCCCCACTCTCATCTCCCCCCCCCCTCCTATCCTCCCACCCCCCCCTCTCTATCCCACCCCCCCCCCTCTCTCCATCTCAACCCCCCCCTCTCTCTATCTCCCCCCCCCCCCACTCTCTATCTCACCCCCCCCTCTCTCTATCTCACCCCCCCCCCCCCCCTCTCTCTATCTCACCCCCCCCCCTCTCCCCCTCACCCCCCCCTCTCTGTCTCACCCCCCCCCCCCTCCTCACTCCCCCCCCCCCTCTCTATCCTCCCCCCCCCCCTCTCTCCCCTCACCCCCCCCCTCTCACCCCACCCCCCCCTCCTCCCCCCCCCCCCTCCCCCCCCCCCCCTCTCCCCCCCCCCCCCCCCCCCCCCCCCCCCCCCCACCCCTCCCCCCCCCTCTCCGAGGGCCCAACGTCCTCTAGTGGGCCCTGTGCTCACTGCCTGGCACCATAGAGCTGGATTGGCATTGGCCATTGAACACCAGAATTGGCAGGTCCACCACTGGCGCCCTGTGCTTTTCACAGATGAGAGCAGGTTCCCCCTGAGCACACGTGACAGACGTGAAAGGGTCTGGAGAAGCCGTGGAGAACGTTCTGCTGCCTGTAACATGGTTCAGTATGACCGTTTTGGTGGTGGGTCAGTGATGGTCTGGGGAGGCATCTCCATGGAGGGACACACAGACCTCTACAGGCTAGACAATGGTACCCTGACTGCCATTAGGTATCGGGATGAAGTCTTTGGACCCAGGTGCGGTGGGTCCCGGGTTCCTCCTGGTGCGGAGGGTCCCGGGTTCCTCCTGGTGCGGAGGGTCCCGGGTTCCTCCTGGTGCGGAGGGTCCCGGGTTCCTCCTGGTGCGGAGGGTCCCGGGTTCCTCCTGGTGCGGAGGGTCCCGGGTTCCTCCTGGTGCGGAGGGTCCCGGGTTCCTCCTGGTGCGGAGGGTCCCGGGTTCCTCCTGGTGCGGAGGGTCCCGGGTTCCACACAAACTACCAAGGACCATTCTGAATTGTTGCTGCAATGACATTTCAGCACAATGGACTCGCCTGCTGCATCTTTTTTTTTTTTTTTCACCATATTGCCAAAAGTATTGTCCCCGCCCTCCCAATCGTGATACGGAACCCATTTTTGCTGAGTTTCTTTGGATTTGCCGTTTTTTTCTTGTCTTCTTTATTCCGTCTATTCGCTGTTGACCTTTTTATCTCTTTGCAGGAGAGAGGCTCAGAAATGTTTCTGCGGATCTGGCAATTGCCGGGGCTACCTGGGCGGCGAGAACCGAGTGAGCGTTCGAGCGGCTGGAGGCAAGATGAAGAAGGAAAGGTCCCGCAAGAAGGATTCGGTGAGTCTTGTGGTTCCTGTACAACGTCCATCGCTGCTACAAGTGTCCTATAGCTGGTTGTGATGGAATGTCGCATCGGACAGAATCCTCCAATGGAGAATGAGTTCCGTTTTCACATTGAGAGTTCCGTTGGTGCTCCTGGAGTATCTTCGCTTCTGTTGGCGCTCCTGGAGTATCTTCCCTTCCGTTGGCGCTCCTGGAGTATCTTCCCTTCCGTTGGCGCTCCTGGAGTATCTTCCCCTCCGTTGGCGCTCCTGGAGTATCTTCCCCTCCGTTGGCGCTCCTGGAGTATCTTCCCCTCCGTTGGCGCTCCTGGAGTATCTTCCCCTCCGTTGGCGCTCCTGGAGGATCTTCCCCTCCGTTGGCGCTCCTGGAGGATCTTCCCCTCCGTTGGCGCTCCTGGAGGATCTTCCCCTCCGTTGGCGCTCCTGGAGGATCTTCCCCTCCGTTGGCGCTCCTGGAGGATCTTCCCCTCCGTTGGCGCTCCTGGAGGATCTTCCCCTCCGTTGGCGCTCCTGGAGGATCTTCCCCTCCGTTGGCGCTCCTGGAGGATCTTCCCTTCCCGTTGGCGCTCCTGGAGGATCTTCCCCCTCCGTTGGCGCTCCTGGAGGATCTTCCCCCTCCGTTGGCGCTCCTGGAGGATCTTCCCCCTCCGTTGGCGCTCCTGGAGGATCTTCCCCCTCCGTTGGCGCTCCTGGAGGATCTTCCCCCTCCGTTGGCGCTCCTGGAGGATCTTCCCCCTCCGTTGGCGCTCCTGGAGGATCTTCCCCCTCCGTTGGCGCTCCTGGAGGATCTTCCCCCTCCGTTGGCGCTCCTGGAGGATCTTCCCCCTCCGTTGGCGCTCCTGGAGGATCTTCCCCCTCCGTTGGCGCTCCTGGAGGATCTTCCCCCTCCGTTGGCGCTCCTGGAGGATCTTCCCCCTCCGTTGGCGCTCCTGGAGGATCTTCCCCCTCCGTTGGCGCTCCTGGAGGATCTTCCCCCTCCGTTGGCGCTCCTGGAGGATCTTCCCCCTCCGTTGGCGCTCCTGGAGGATCTTCCCCCTCCGTTGGCGCTCCTGGAGGATCTTCCCCCTCCGTTGGCGCTCCTGGAGGATCTTCCCCCTCCGTTGGCGCTCCTGGAGGATCTTCCCCCTCCGTTGGCGCTCCTGGAGGATCTTCCCCCTCCGTTGGCGCTCCTGGAGGATCTTCCCCCTCCGTTGGCGCTCCTGGAGGATCTTCCCCCCCTCCGTTGGCGCTCCTGGAGGATCTTCCCCCTCCGTTGGCGCTCCTGGAGGATCTTCCCCCTCCGTTGGCGCTCCTGGAGGATCTTCCCCCTCCGTTGGCGCTCCTGGAGGATCTTCCCCCTCCGTTGGCGCTCCTGGAGGATCTTCCCCCTCCGTTGGCGCTCCTGGAGGATCTTCCTCTTGGGGTCGGATATTGGAGCTATTTTCGGTAATAACCAGAAAAATCAACCTCTCGATCGCCGGGGCCTGGACTAGAATGATCTGGTGGAGGGTGGACAGTCCAACAAGCATCAGAGCCCCATACCTGCATAGTTACCTACATTTCAGAATGGTTATGGCCCGTTTGGACCTTCTTCAGTATGTAGCATTGGGTTTTTAACCACTTCCCATCCGGCCGTTGTATATAAACGGAATAGTAGTAAGCAAGATGTCACTTCTGACATAGCTTACTACTTGTGAAATCTGTGAATGATCACTGAGATCACATGGTACAGGGCCATTCACACCAGCCTTGTACCATGTGACAAGCTGTGACCAATCACCGTATTTCTCAATGGCTGCAAGAATGCAGCCAGAGAGGAGAAATGATTGCTTTTACAGCCTTTAATAAATAAATAAATAAATCTTTATCACCCCCCACAAGTAGTACAGTGTCACCATGGTGACCCTGTACTGCTAGGGTGACAGTATGTAAAAAAAATTAAAAAATGTGAAAAATAATGTTTAAAAATTATAATTTTTGGTTATAAACTAATTTGGGCTATTTATTTTTTTTACTAAAAAGATAACCGAATACATTTTGGCCGAGATTTATGAAGAAATATTATTTATTTGCAAAATGTTGTTAGAAAAACACTTTTTTTCCAAAATTTTTGGACTTTTTCATTTACATAAAAAAAAATCCCAGCGGTGAATATATACCACCAAAATAAAGCTTTATCTGTCTCAAAAAAAAATGCTAAAAAATTCATATGGGTACAGTGTTGCATGACCGCGCAATTGTCATTCAAAGTGTGATAGCGCTGAAAGCTGAAAATTGGCCTGGACTGGAAGGGGGTGAAAGTGTCGGGACTGGAAGGGGGTGAAAGTGTCGGGACTGGAAGGGGGTGAAAGTGTCGGGACTGGAAGGGGGTGAAAGTGTCGGGACTGGAAGGGGGGGAAAGTGTCGGGACTGGAAGGGGGGGAAAGTGTGTCGGGACTGGAAGGGGGGGAAAGTGTCGGGACTGGAAGGGGGGGAAAGTGTCGGGACTGGAAGGGGGGGGAAAGTGTCCGGACTGGAAGGGGGGGGGAAAGTGTCCGGACTGGAAGGGGGGGAAAGTGTCCGGACTGGAAGGGGGGGAAAGTGTCGGGACTGGAAGGGGGGGGGGGAAGTGTCGGGACTGGAAGGGGGGGAAAGTGTCGGGACTGGAAGGGGGGGGGAAAGTGTCCGGACTGGAAGGGGGGGAAAGTGTCGGGACTGGAAGGGGGGGAAAGTGTCGGGACTGGAAAGGGGGGAAAGTGTCGGGACTGGAAGGGGGGGGAAAGTGTGGGGACTGGAAGGGGGGGAAAGTGTCGGGACTGGAAGTGGTTAATATATTTTTTAAGGTGTAGGGGGGGTTAAGGTTAGGGGTTAATATTTATTTATTATTACATAGTATTTATGATTATCTTTATTTGTGTATTTAGTTTAGTTTCATTTATTATTATCACCCTAACAAATAAAAATAAAATAATAAAATACTATAAATAAATAATAATTAAATAATAAATAAAATCCTAACCCCGAGTTCTAACCCTAAACTAAATAATAATAAATGAATAGTAATAAAACTAAAATCTGATGGAAAAACTAAAAAAAACAGAAAAACCTAGCAACAAATGATGCAACAGATAATAATATATTTTTCTTTATTGGCTAACAAAAAAAAAGCCAAAGCTCAAAAATGGCTAAAAACACGCGAAATCACAGTAAGATATGCACAAAAAATGCTACGCTCAGATGTGAATGGGTACTTATTCAGAGTTAGCTTCGCTTTGTTTTGGAGGTATTGCAGGTATGAGATATCCCAGGATGCACTGGGAAACCAACAAGCAAACCGGAAAGACGTCATCAGCAGTCACTTCTGGTTCATGTGTGTATATTCTGGGAGTGTCTGGTGCAGACGTCACATCTGGGGTGCAGCGCGGAGCAGCAGGAAGGTGAGCGGGGTCCGGAGCAACTAGCAGACGGTACATGATGTGCAACATAGGAAAGCTATAGGGAAGGTGAGCGGGGACTGGATGCAGAGGACTGAGCAGTAGAGTATCGGGGGGATCAGAGCAGGAGAAATGAGCAACGTCACATGTGGTGCGCAACGTGGGAGCAAAACCGTGGGAGGTGAGCGGGGACCAGAGAGAAAGGAGCGTCTGCAACCAAGAGGATCAGCAGAGCTGGAGGTTACTACTGAGCTGGGGATCTGCTGAACGAAAGTACCAATGAGCTTGGAATCTGCTGAATTAGGGTACCAAAGAGCTGGGGATCTGCTGAATGAGAGTACCAATGAGCTGGGGATCTGCTGAATGAGAGTACCAATGAGCTTGGGATCTGCTGAATTAGGGTACCAAAGAGCTGGGGATCTGCTGAATGAGAGTACCAATGAGCTTGGGATCTGCTGAATGAGAGTACCAATCAGCTGGGGATCTGCCGAACGAGGGTACTACTAAGCTTGAAATCTGCTGAATGAGGGTACCATTGATCTGGGGATCTGCTGAATGAGGGTACCATTGATCTGGGGATCTGCTGAACGAGAGTACCAATGAGCTGGGGATCTGCTGAACGAGGGTACCAAAGAGCTGGGGATCTCCTGAATGAGGGTACCAATGAGCTGGGGATCTGCTGAATGAGGGTACCAAAGAGCTGGGGATCTCCTGAATGAGGGTACCAATGAGCTGGGGATCTGCTGAATGAGGGTACCAAAGAGCTTAGGATCTGCTGAACGAGAGTACCAATGAGCTGGGGATCTGCTGAATTAGGGTACCAAATTGCTGGGGATCTGCTGAATGAGGGTACCAGTGAGCTGGGGATCTGCTGAATGAGAGTACCAATGAGCTGGGGATCTGCTGAACGAGGGTACTACTAAGCTTGGGATCTCCTGAATTAGGGTACCAATGAGCTTGGGATCTGCTGAACGAGGGTACTACTAAGCTTGGGATCTGCTGAACGAGGGTACCAATGAGCTTGGGATCTGCTGAACGAGGGTACCAATGAGCTGGGGATCTGCTGAATGAGAGTACCAATGAGCTGGGGATCTGCTGAACAAGGGTACTACTAAGCTTGGGATCTGCTGAATGAGGGTACCAAAGAGCTTATGGATCTGTTGAGTTGGGGGTTCTACTGGGTCCCTTTTAAAACAAATAGAAAATCAGCACACACGGGGCATTTTCCAAGCTTCAAAAAAGCATCTCCAAAGCATCAAAAACCCATCAAAGAAGCGGTACGGGCTTTAATATGTGTTAAAGTTGAAGCGAGTGTGAATGAGCCCAGAGAATGGCTTTTTGAAGATGAATTACAGTTGTGTGGTACCGGGAAGGGGGGGATCGTGATTTGATCCCCGGCAGATGTTGTACGTTCGCCCACTTACACAGAAATGAGGGGTCTATCGATTTTATCCTAGGCGTAGCTTAAATGATAGAGACAGAATATCAACCAGAAATCCAGAAAAAAACACAATACAAATGTTATAAATGGAGTTGAAGTTCGGTGAGTAGAATAAGGATTTGATCCCCGAGCAAAACCTGACTTAGTACTTGGTGGCCAATCCCTTGTTGGCATTCACAGAAGTCAGACATTTCCTGGAGTTGGCCCCCAGGTTCGCACACATCTCAGGAGGGATTTTGGCCCACTCCTCTTGGCAGATCCTCTCCAAGTCATGAAGGTTTGGTGGCTGACGTTTGGCAACTCGAACTTTCAGCTCCCTCCACAGATTTTCAATCGGATGAAGCTCTGGAGACTGGCTAGGCCACTCCAGGACCTTAATGTGCTTCTTCTTGAGCCGCTCCTTTGTTGCCTTGGCCGTGTGTTTTGGGTCATTGTCATGCTGGAACACCCATCCACCACCCATTTTCAATGCCCTGGCTGAGGGAAGAAGGTTCTCACCCAAGATTTGAGGGTACATTGCCCTGTCCATCGTCTCTTTGATGCGGTGCAGTTGTCCTGTCCTCTTAGCAGAAAACCCCCCCCAAAGCAGAATGTTTCCACCACCATGTTTCACAGTTGGGATGGTGTTCTTGGGGTCATAGGCAGCCTTCCTCCTCCTCCTCCAAACACAACGAGTTGAGTTGATGCCAAAGAGCTGGATTTTGGTCTCATCTGACCACAACACTTCCCACCAGTCCTCCTCTGCATCATTCAGATGTTCTGGCAGACTTCAGACGGGCCTGGACATGGGCTTTCTTGAGCAGAGGGACCGTGCGGGCACTGCAGGATTTCAGTCCTTGTCGGCGTAGTGTGTTACCAATTGTTTTCTTGGTGACTGTGGTCCCAGCTGCCTGGAGATCATTGACAAGATCCTCACGTGTAGTTCGGGGATGATTCCTCACTGTTCTCATGATCATTGACACCCCACGAGGTGAGATCTTGCATGGTGCACCAGACCTAGGGAGACTGACACTTGTTTTGTGTTTCTTCCATTTGCGAATGATTGCTCATTTGTTGCCTTGGCGGCGGTATGTTTTGGGTCATTGTCATGCTGAAAGACCCATCCACAACCCATCTTCAGTGTTTTGGGAAGAAGGTTCTCATCCAAGATTTTACAATACATGGCCCCGTCCATTGGCCCTTCAATGCGGCAAAGTCGGCCTGTACCTTTAGCAGAGAAACCGCCCCAAAGCATAATGTTTCCACCTCCGTGCATGACTGTAGGGATGGAGTTCTTAGGGTCGTGGTCAGCATTTTTCTTCCTGCGAGTTGAGTTAATGCCAAAGAGCCCAATTTTGGTCTCATCTGATCACAGCACTCTCTCCCAATCCTTCTCTGAATCATTTAGATGTTCATTGGCAAACGTCAGACGGGCCTGGACATTGTGCCTTCTTGAGGAGGGGGACCTTGCGGGAGCTGCAGGATTTCAGTCCATGGAGGCGTATTGTGTTACCAATGGTTTGTTTGGTGACTGTGGTCTCCCAACTTCCTTGAGATCATTCATAGGCTCCTCCCATGTAGTTGTCACTTTTCTCATGATCATCCTTAACCCCATGAGACCAAATTTTGCATTGGCCTTCAGACCGAGGACGACGATTGATGGTTATTTTGTATTTCTTCCATTTACAAATAATCGCTCCAACAGTTGTCTTCTTCTCACCGAGCTTCTCACTGATGGTCTTCTAGCCCATTCCAGCCTTGTGCAGGTCTACAGTCTTGTCCCTGATGTCCTTTGACAGCTCTTTGGTCTTACCCATGGTGGTGCCCAAGAAAGAGATTCTGTGGTCAGGTGTCTGTTATACACAAATTGTCGTTGGGAGAACCTTCTTAAATGGACAGGACTGATCTGTGGAGCACATGAGCACACAGTCAGTCTGTGGGAGCCAGAATCATTGCTGGTTGGTTGGGGATCAAATACTAATTTCACGCCCTGAACTGCAACTCCATTTTAGAACATTTGTATCGTGTTTTTTTCTGGATTTTTGGTTGATATTCTGTCTCTGTCATTTTTTATCATAGGTGTATTTTAAATGGTAGCCCCTCCATTTCTTCGTAAGTGGGCAAACGTACAAAATCTGCGGGTGTCAAATCATTCTTTTCTCCACTGTGTATGTTTATATAGTACCGTGGTCCAGCTTGGACCAATCGCATGTATACACAATGCCTGGGTGATGCCCCTAGAAGCTGGAAATCACTGAAGCAGACCCCGCTACTCCGGGGATCTCCCCTCGCCTCCAGATCCCGTGCCGAGTGGCCGTCTTGGTGCATTGTGAACACAGGAGATCGGTCGCTTGGCACGGGCGCCATTTATAGAATGCTTATGAATGAATGCAAAATGTTCTTTGGTTGGATGAGGAGGAAAGTGTGTTGTCACCACCCTGCCTCTCTACCTCATCCAATCGGAGAACGCTTTATACTGACACTTAAACCACTTCCTACCTGTAGACCATCTACATACACACGGCCTTGGGTTGAAGTGGTCATTCCAGGACGGGTTGAAGTGGTCATTCCAGGACGGGTTGAAGTGGTTATTCCAGGACGGGTTGAAGTGGTTATTCCGGGACGGGTTGAAGTGGTTATTCCGGGACGGGTTGAAGTGGTTATTCCGGGACGGGTTGAAGTGGTTATTCCGGGACGGGTTGAAGTGGTCCTGCCAGGACCATGGTTGCAGCTACAGCTATGATCCTGGTATTGTTCCCTTCAAAGTAAAAGTGATCCGAGTGGCTGTATTTAGGTCCCGCCCCACCACCACCACCGCTGCCGCCTTTACCAGACTCTCCGGTCCAATCAGGGAGCCCGGTTAGGATGCCACCGGATTGGTCACATTCCCTGGGAAGAGTGGAAGGAACGGAAGTCCCCATCCATTTTCTGTGATGTCAGAAACGTTTGGCCATTTTGCAAAGCAGGGAGTAAAAACCGGCACATTGCCTCGTAAAACGGAACACACGGTAAACATTGTTGGGCACACAGCTTGACCCCTTGGGTTGCCTCCAAAATGTTGACCCCTTCCCAGCAAGGGCCATTAGTACGGTGACTGTGTTTGCTCTGATCACTGGTGATGTCCGTGTCATTTAGTCGGTCAGACGTTAGATTGCCTGTAATCACTATCATCCCGGAGGTCAAGTGATTACATTCACTCACCTTTGTCCTTTTCTTCATGTTCCCATTGCCAGCCGCAGCATCATGACTTCTGCATCATGACTTCTGCATCATGACTTCTGCATCATGACTTCTGCATCATGACTTCTGCATCATGACTTCTGCATCATGACTTCTGCATCATGACTTCTGGTTGTTGGATTGTTGCAGGTGGACGGGGAGTTGGAGGCTCTCCTGGAGAACGGGGAAGGTCTGTCTGACAAGAATCAGGTCCTCAGCCTGTCCCGGTTAATGGTCCGAATCGAGACCCTGGAGCAGAAGCTCACCTGTCTGAAGCTCATCAAGGTAACGTGGCTCTGGCTGCTTTCTGTGTCTTTTGCACCTGTTTTCTGTGTATGCAGTGCATGTGATGGAAACGTGGTTTTCTGCCTGTAGAACACGCAGTCCCAGTCCTGTCTGAAGCTCTTCTTGGAGTGTCACGGTCTGTCTCTTCTGTGGATCTGGATGGCTGAACTCGGTGACAGCCGGGGGGAACACGAACAACAGCATCAAGTTGCAGCTGGAGGTCAGTGAACGTCTTGTCATTGTTGTCGGCCGTTGCCTATACTTGCCGATCTCTCCACACGCAGCAGTTTCACACACCATAGAAACGCAGTTTTGTATTTCTGCACGCTTGTTTTTGGTGCGTTCCGGTGCATTTTTAACACGTTCTGGTTCATTTTTTCCCTCCCTCATTCTTCAATTTAAATAGGCACATGTGCGTTCTGGTGCATTTTTGGTGTGTTTTACCGCGTTCCAGTACAGTTCTGTGCAGGAAAAATACAGCCTGTTCTACTTTTTTTTTTTTTTTCTGTAACCGGAACGCACTGGAACTGCAAGCGCTGATGTGAACTACGAAATCGACAACCAGATCACCGACTTTCTGTGCGTTTTGGATGCAGAAAAAAAGGAACTGAAAATTTTTTCCCTCTTTTTCTTCAATTTAAATAAGGGACATGTGCGTTCCGGTGCTTTTTTTAATGTGTTTTACCACGTTCCAGTACAGTTCTGTGCAGGAAAAATGCAGTCTGTTCTCTTCCTTTTTTTTTTTTTCTGCAACCGGAACGCCCCGGAACTGCAAGCACTGATGTGAACTACGACACCCGACAACCAGATCACCGACTTTCTGTACGTTTTGAATGCAGAAAAAAAGAACACTGAAACGCACATGTCCCTATTTAAATTGCAGAAAAAGGGGAAAAAAATGAACTGGAGTGCATAAAAATCGCACTGGAAAGCATCAAAAACACGCATGCGGAAATGCGTCCGGAATGCATCTGGACGGCGTTTCATTAGTGTGAACCGGGCCTTATAGTAGAAAGTAAAAACATTTTTTTTTTTTTTGTTTTAATTTTCAGTCTTTTTTTGGTTTATATCATATAAACAAATACAGTGGCGATCAAACACAAACAAAAAAAAAGCTCTCTTGGTGTGAAAAAAAAAAAAAAGATCACAATCTCATTTGCATACAGCGTTGCATGACCACGCAATTACCAGTTAAGGTAGCGCAGTGCTGAATAGCAAAAAGTGTCCTGATCCTGAAGGGGGTAAAACCTTCAAGTGGTTCTAAAAAAAAAAATAAATATATATATAATATATATATATATATATATTTTGTTTTTAGGCTCCACCTCTTCTTTTTAGAGCTCCACCCCCCCAGGAGATAAAGACTGAGGACAGGATACAGGAGAGGTCCCCACAACCCCTTCCCTAAGTTCCCCCTCCTTAAATCAGGGTCCCTGGTGTCCCCCCTCAACATTAGGGTCCAAAAAGCCCCCCCCAATAAATCAGGATCCCCCTTTAAATCATGGTCTCCAGAGTCCTTCCACCTTATGTGCATCGAAGTCCCCATAGCCCATCCCCTTATATCAGGGTCCCCCAGAGCCCCCTCCTTAAATTAGGTTTCCCAGAGTCCTCCCTCCTTACATTAGGATCCCAAAAGTCCCCCCCGATACATCAGGGTCAGTCCTTTACATCATGGTCTCCAGAGTCCCTCCCCCCACCTTACATCAGGGTCCCCATAGGCCCTCCCTTTACAACATGGTCCCCCAGAGCCCACCTTCTTAAATCAGGGTCCCCAGAGTCCCTACCACTTACATCAGGGTCCCCAGAGTCCCTACCACTTACATCAGGGTCCACCTTTATATCATGGTCTCCAGAGTTCCCCCACCCATAGGCCCTCCCCATACATCAGGGTCCCCCAGAGACCCAGATCCCCCTCCTTAAATAAGGGTCCCCAGAGTTCCCCTCTTCCCTTACATCAGGATCCCAAAAGTCCAAATACATCAGGGTCCCCCTATACATCATGGTTTTCAGAGCCCCCCACCTTACATCAGGGTTCGTAGAGACCATTCTCTTTAATTTGGTCCCCAAAGTTCCCCCCGCCCTTACATCAGGATCCCCCCCAACCCCCCTTACCTCTGTGTCCATTCATTCCTCCAGGCAGCTACACGAGCTGGAAGTAGTCCTGTCCTTGCCGTCCTCCTTCTCCTGTGAATAGTGGGGGCGGGGCAAGCAACTGATTGGATGTTGGGACCACCGATGTCCTAGCAACCAATCACGTGCTTTCCCCGCCCCCACTAGAGCTGACAGTGACAACACAGGGCAGTGGCGTATATATATATATATATTTGTTTATGTCAGGTACCTCTATAGTGCTGTCAATCTATGCAGCGCTTTACATATATATTGTACATTCACATCAGTCCCCGCCCCCGAGGAGCGTACAATCTAAGGTCCCTAACTCACACTCATACATACACATACTGGGGCCAATTTAGACAGGAGCCAATTCACCTACCAGCATGTCTTTGGAGTGAAACCGGAGTACCCGGAGGAAACCCACACAGGCACAGGGAGAACATGCAAACTCCAGGCAGGAGGCGCCATGGTCGGGAATCGAACCCATGACCCATTTACTGCAAGGCAGACGTGCTAACCACTAAGCCACTGTGCCGCCCAACGCACGCGCGCGCGCTATATATATATATACATACACACACTCACACTCTTTTAAAAAACAAAACTCTCCATTTTGGATTTTTGCCCAAATCCCTCCTGAATTTTTATTTCGGAGCACCACTAGTATCCCAGGAGGCTGCAGGACCAGGCGCACACACAACCCCCCCCCGACGCGTTTCGCCTAGAGTAATCCATCATTGTTGGGAACCCTACGATTCGGCCCGGCTTGGAGTGAAACCCTCTAGATTGGTGGCCTCAGGTGAAAGGTCAGCAAGTCTTTGGCTGTGCTGTATGTCACCAGCCTGGCTGCGCAGTGCGGCAGGTGGACCCGTCTTAGAAAGTCCGTCAGATTTGCGCCCAATGCGTCTGATTTTTGCTGGAATATTCCGTTTCTAGTGAATAATCTTTGTTGTTTTTGCCCTCCTGATTAGATCATCAGAACGTTGGAGCTCCTCCCCATCCCCAACAAGAACATGCTGGAAGAGAGTAAGATCCTCCCCATCATACAGAGGTGGTCTCAGACCAAAATGGCCATTCCGGCGCTGAGCGAAGGCGACGGCTACTCCAGCGAGAACACGTCGCGGGCGCACACCCCGCTCAACACCCCGGCTAACACGCCTGACCCCGCCGCCAAGCCAGCTGAACGTGGAGATGGAGGGCGAGACCCCCAAGAAGCTGATTCTGCGCCGGCTGAAAATCGTCAGCGAAAACAGCATGGACAGCGCGGCGTCCGACGCCGCCAGCGAGGTGGAAGTAAAGGACGTGTCCGTAAAACAAGAGGCCCCCGCCTCCGAGGAACAGAAAGAAGGGGAGAAAATGAAGGAGGAGGTCAAAGTTGAGGAGCCTCCAACGCCAACCGAAGAGCAGCCAGCCTCTGTCCCCAAATCTGAGGAGGACCCAGCGGCAGACGGGAACAAAGAAGCTTCGGCTGGTATGGAAGTCTCCGAAACGGAGCCCAAGGACCCCGGTGGGCTGAAGGTAGAAGAGGCACCTGCGGTGGAGACCCCGTCTCAGGACGAGGAAGAGGGCATCTCCGATGTGGAGAGCGAGAGGAGCCAGGAACAGCCGGATAAGATGATTGACATGAGTGAGCTGGCCTCCAAACTCCTGGAGGGATGGAAGGATTTGAAGGTAAGGAGGAGCACTGATTAGATGGTAAGCTCTTCAGGACCTCCTCACCTTCTTCATGGTGGCCATTGGTCAAAAGCTGAACTCTGGGCAGTTGTGAATGACTCCGTCAGCCTTTGTATAGCAAGCCTGGCATGTAGAAGGAAGAAGTAGTATAAGGAGCTAATTGGTTAATGTGCGGACAGGGGCGGACTGACCATTTGGAAACTCGGGCAGTGCCCGAGGACCCGTGGTCAGTAGGGGGCCCCATGAGATTCCCCTGGTTCCTTTTTCATAGGCTTTTTTGAGTTTGGGCAAGGACACAGGGGCCCCATGATCCCCTATTGCCCGGGGGCCCCCATGAGTTGTCAGTTCACCCCTGTGTGCGGACGAAGCACGCTGTTGGGTGGAGAGGGCATAGTGATGGAGAGATGTGCTCTTTGATGTGCTGCTACTCCTTTCACTGTCCAATCACAGTCTGGGGGGAGGGTCCAGGGTGATCTGGAGGAAATTTGCTAAATGATGCTGGTTATCAGGACCTGCAGGGAAATCTCTGGATTTGAAGCCCTCTGTGTGTTGATTTTCTGTTTGTTTTAAAGGGGTCCAGTAGACCCCCCAGCTAAGCAGATCCTCGGCTTATTAGTACCCCTGTTAAGCACATTCCCACCTCACTGGTACCCTCATTCAGCTGATCCCCCACCCAGTAATAACCCTAAGCTCTGCTGATGCCCCACTCAGTATTACCCCCAGCTCTGCTGATCCCCCACTCAGTAGTAACCCCCAGCTCTGCTGATCCTGCGCTCAGTAGTACCCCCAGCTCTGCTGATCCCCTGCTCAGTAGTAGCCCCCAGCTCTGCTGATCTTCCACTCAGTAGTACCCCCAGCTCTGCTGATCCCCCGCTCAGTAGTACCCCCAGCTCTGCTGATCCCCCGCTCAGTAGTAACCCCCAGCTCTGCTGATTCCCTGCTCAGTAGTAACCCGCAGTTCTGCTGATCCCCTTCTCAGTAGTAACCCCCAGCTCTGCTGATCCCCTTCTCAGTAGTAACCCCCAGCTCTGCTGATCCCCTGCTCAGTAGTAACCCCAGCTTTGCTGATCTCCCGCTCAGTAGTAGCCTCCAGCTCTGCTGATCCTCCACTCAGTAGTAAACCCCCAGCTCTGCTGATCTTCCACTCAATAGTACCCCCAGCTCTGCTGATACCCCGCTCAGTAGTAAACCCCAGCTCTGCTGATCCCTTGCTCAGTAGTAACCCTCAGCTCTGCTGATCCCTCGCTTAGTAATAACCCTAAGCTCTGCTGATCCCCCGCTCAGTAGTAACCCTAGCTCTGCTGATCCCCCACTCAGTTATAACCCCCAGCTCTGCTCATTCTCTGCTCAGTAGTAAACCCCAGCTCTGCTGATCCCCCGCTCAGTAGTAACCCCCAGCTCTGCTGATCCCTCACTCAGTAGTAACCCCCAGCTCTGCTGATCCCCTGCTCAGTAGTAACCCCCAGCTCTGCTGATCCCCTGCTCAGTAGTAACCCCCAGCTCTGCTGATCCCATGCTCAGAAGTAACCCCCAGCTCTGCTGGTTCTCCGCTCAGTAGTAACCCTGCTCCACGCTGCACACCAGATGTGACATCTGCACCAGACACTTCCAAACATGAACTGGAAGTGACTGCTGATTTTCAGTCCACTTGTGGTCACCCAGTGCATCCTGGGATATCTCATACCTGCAATACGTCCAAAACAAAGTGCAGCTAAACAGCCTCATCTACAGCCACCCAAAAGCTGCAGGGGCTGTTGGCGAACTTTGTCATAGACTTCTATGGAGGCTTTGGAGATGCTTTCAAGTACCAAGACAGGGACATGGGGTGTCATTTTTGAAGCAAAGCAAACACATGTGAACAGGACTGTAAGCTTTCCATTCTATTTAGAGACCGGGGCTTTGATTGGCATTCAGAGCGCTGTAACCTCTTCCCACCCATATGACGTCATATGACGTCCTTAGGTTGAAGTGGGTTATACTGGGATGATGCCTGCGCCGGGCCAGATGGCAAGCGCGTGCGGGGCCTTTTCCCATTATCAGGGGTGTATGGAAGTTATCAGGCATTGGCGCGGCCACCTGAATGCTTCCACCTGACAGGCAGCAGTCTGGTTGTCGGATTTACACGCGCTCCCGCTGACTGCACCCACCAAAAAATGTATGTATGTAAAATTTAAAGGGTAACTCCATATTTGTGGGGGGAAACGAATTACAAAATAATAATGAAAAAATAATATAGCTCATACAATTGCAACACAAGTCATACTGCAAATTCCCTTTCCTTTTCACTCTGCAGCCGCTGTCATTCTCTGTAAAATGCAATACGGCGACCTGGAAGCGTTCTGTATACAGAACTCTGCCCAGAAATGTCATTTCCTGCTTGTGTGATTGGCTCAGATTTTTTGGGCATCCCCTGCAACAAAAGTGTCATATTTTTTTTTTTTTTTTTTTTTGGGGGGTGAGATACTGCCAAAGGGAAATCACGTCTAAAGGGATGCAGACCCTGCCACTTTCCTCATTAGAGCCCTGCAGGTGCTGCTGCTGATTGATGATTATATAGTCACTCCCATTCACTCTGCACATGGACACAGAGAAACAAACAGATATTTCTTCAGCATAACAAAAGGTAGGAATCTGCAACAAAGTTTGTTAAAATCCCTGCAATGTGCATCGATCACCCAGAGGGGGAGGGGTTATTTTTTCTAAGCAAAAGTGGAGTTACCCTTTAAATCTTTTCAGTAAGTGCAAATAAATACTTGTTGTTTCCACAAGAAATCCAGCGAGCTGATCACCTTCCCAGATTATCGCTGAGGACTACATCCTCCGCCTTTCCTCATCCCCATAACACGATGGGAGAGGTGTTCTGTAGTCCGCAGTGATAACTGTCCTTTAGTTCTAGCACATTCTGTCCTAGAGTGATGAGGCTGCTCCTCTATAGATACAATAATGTGTCCTGTAGTAGGTCTGCAGTCTCTGACCATCTCCTGTACTGTGTCTGCAGTCTCTGACCGTCTCCTGTAGTATGTCTGCAGTCTCTGACCGTCTCCTGTAGTATGTCTGCAGTCTCTGACCATCCCCTGTACTGTGTCCGCAGTCTCTGACCATCTCCTGTACTGTGTCTGCAGTCTCTGGTCATCTCCTGTACTGTGTCTGCAGTCTCTGGTCATCTCCTGTACTGTGTCTGCAGTCTCTGACCATCTCCTGTACTATGTCTGCAGTCTCTGACCATCTCCTGTACCTTGTCTGCAGTCTCTGACCGTCTCCTGTACTATGTCTGCAGTCTCTGACCGTCTCCTGTACTGTGTCTGCAGTCTCTGACCGTCTCCTGTACTGTGTCTGCAGTCTCTGACCGTCTCCTGTACTATGTCTGCAGTCTCTGACCGTCTCCTGTACTGTGTCTGCAGTCTCTGACCGTCTCCTGTACCTTGTCTGCAGTCTCTGACCGTCTCCTGTACTATGTCTGCAGTCTCTGACCGTCTCCTGTACTGTGTCTGCAGTCTCTGACCGTCTCCTGTACTGTGTCTGCAGTCTCTGACCATCTCCTGTAGTATGTCTGCAATCTCTGACCGTCTCCTGTACTATGTCTGCAGTCTCTGACCATCTCCTGTACCTTGTCTGCAGTCTCTGACCGTCTCCTGTACTATGTCTGCAGTCCCCTGACCATCTCCTGTAGTATGTCTGCAGTCTCTGACCATCTCCTGTACTATGTCTGCAGTCTCTGACCATCTCCTGTACTATGTCTGCAGTCTCTGACCATCTCCTGTAGTATGTCTGCAGTCTCTGACCATCTCCATAGTATGTCTGCAGTCTCTGACCTTCTCCTGTACTGTGTCCGCAGTCTCTGACCATCTCCTGTATCATGTCTGCAGTCTCTGACCGTCTCCTGTACTATGTCTGCAGTCTCTGACCGTCTCCTGTACTATGTCTGCAGTCTCTGACCGTCTCCTGTACTGTGTCTGCAGTCTCTGACCGTCTCCTGTACTATGTCTGCAGTCTCTGACCGTCTCCTGTACTATGTCTGCAGTCTCTGACCGTCTCCTGTACTGTGTCCGCAGTCTCTGACCGTCTCCTGTACTGTGTCCGCAGTCCTCTCTGACCGTCTCCTGTATCATGTCTGCAGTCTCTGACCGTCTCCCGTAATGTGTCTGCATCTATCTGTAGCATTTCACTAACTGAATGCTATGTGTGGCCCTTTGGTGATGTGAGGCCCCTACACCAAGTCGGTTGACTGGTCCAGACAGAGGATTGATTGGCTGGTGTAGACTTTAGCACCTCCCTGTGCCTGCGGGTGTTCACTGACTGAATCTGTATTCTCTCTGCCTGCAGGAAGTCTATCGGATCCCAAAGAAGACGCCGGCGGAGAAGGAGCACCGTATGTATCACGCATGTATCACGCATGTCATATGATGGAAACACTGCTGTCAGCTAGAATATTCCGAAACGGATGGGGGGGGGGGGGGGGGGGGGGGGGGGGGGGGGGGGGGGGGGGGGGGGGGGGGGGGGGGGGGGGGGGGGTAATGGGCCGAATTGTAGTCTGTGACATCATCAGGACGTCATACTGCGCTGCCTTTATTAATATTAACAAAAATAGAAAACGATCTAAACCTCGCAGTGAGAAATTCAAGGCGGGGGGGAGGAGTTTTTCGGGGGAGGAGTTTTTCGGGGGGAGGAGTTTCTCTTTATCATACATATTACATAGGTGAAGAAGAAAGAAAAGGAATTCTATTCCGTGTTTGGTATCCCCCAGTAGGGGGCGATATGCTCTCATGTACACCAGCTCTTGTCATTCACTGTATCTGCTCTTAGGGCTCATGTTCGCTTTCTTCGACTTTAACGCACATTAAAGCGCCTGCGGCTGCAGCATGATTTGTCGATGTGTTTGTGATGCTTCGGTGATGCTTTTTAAAGCTTTAATCAAGCTTGACAAATGCCCCGTGTGGTCATATTTTAATTGTTTTTGAGGGGCTCTCAGCAGAGCCCCAGCTCATTGGTACGCTCGTTCAGCAGATTCCTTGCTCAGAAGTACCCCCCAGCTCTGCTTATCCCCCAACTTTAAATGCTGATCCCCCGCTCAGTAGTAACCCCCAGCTCTGCTGATGCCCCACTCAGTATTACCCCCAGCTCTGCTGATGTCCCACTCAGCAGTACCCCCCCAGCTCTGCTGATGTCCCACTCAGTAGTACCCCCAGCTCTGCTGATGTCCCACTCAGCAGTACCCCCAGCTCTGCTGACGTCCCACTCAGTAGTACCATCAGCTTTGCTGATGCCCCACTCAGTAGTAACCCCCAGCTCCGCTGACGCCCCACTCAGTAGTAACCCCCCCAGCTCTGTTGATCTTCCTCTCAGTAGTACCCCTAACTCTGCTCAGCCCCCCCCCAGCTCAGTAGTACCCCTAACTCTACTCAGCCGTGCTCAATAGCATCTCCCAACTCTGTTGATCCCCCCGCTCAGTAGTACCCCTAACTCTGTTCAGCCCCAGCTCAGTAGTAGCCCCCAGCTCTGTTGATCCCCCTGCTCAGTAGTAGCCCCCAGCTCTGTTGATCCCCTGCTCATCAGTAACCCCCAGCTCTGCTGATCCCCCGTTCAGTAGTAACCCCCAGCTCTGCCTATCCCCCGTTCAGTAGTAACCCCCAGCTCTGTTGTTCCCTCGCTCAGTAGTAACCCCCAGCTCTGTTGATCCCCCCGTTCAGTAGTAACCCCCAGCTCTGTTGATCCCCCCCGTTCAGTAGTAACCCCCAGCTCTGTTGTTCCCTCGCTCAGTAGTAACCCCCAGCTCTGTTGTTCCCTCGCTCAGTAGTAACCCCCAGCTCTGTTGTTCCCCCGCTCAGTAGTACCCCCAGCTCTGCTGATCCCCCACTCAGTAGTAACCCCCAGCTCCGCTAACGCCCCACTCAGTAGTACCCCCAGCTCTGCTTATCCCCCGCTCAGTAGAGCCCCCAGCTCTGCTTATCCCCCGCTCAGTAGTAGCCTTCAGCTCTGTTGATCCCCTGGTTTGCTAATCCTCCTCTCGCTTTGTTTTCCACTCACCTTGCTCTATATAGCTCCCATGCTGCGCACCACATGTGATATTGCTAGTTTCTCCTGCTCTGGTCCCCCAGCTCTGCTGATCCTCTGCCACTCAGTCCTCTTGTCACCGGTCCCCGCTCACCTTCCACTATAGCATTCTAATGAAGCGCGCCGTCTGCTAGTTGCTCCAATCCGGACCCCGCTCGCCTTCCTGCTGCTTCTCGCTGCACCCCAGATGGGATGTCTGCACCCCAGATGTGATGTCTGCACCAGACACTCCCAGAATATATACACAGGAACCGGAAATGACTGCTGATGTCTTTCTGGTTTCCTTGTTGGTTTCCCAGTGCATCCTGGGATATCTCATACCTGCAATACCTCCAAAGCAAAGCGAAGCTAAAGCTGAATAAAAGCCACCAAAAGCTGCAGCTGCTGTTAGCGAGCGTTGTCATAGACCTCTATGGAGGCTTTGGAGACGCTTTGAAGCACCAAGACAGGGACATGGGATATGAAGCGACAGGGACATGGGGTGTGAAGCGACAGGGACAAGGGGTATGAAGCGACAGGGGCATGGGGTATGAAGCGACAGGGGCATGGGGTATGAAGCGACAGGGACATGGGGTGTGAAGCGACAGGGACATGGGGTATGAAGCGACAGGGACATGGGGTGTGAAGCGACAGGGACATGGGGTGTGAAGCGACAGGGACATGGGGTGTGAAGCGACAGGGACATGGGGTGTGAAGCGACAGGGACATGGGGTGTGAAGCGACAGGGACATGGGGTGTGAAGCGACAGGGACATGGGGTGTGAAGCGACAGGGACATGGGGTGTGAAGCGACAGGGACATGGGGTGTGAAGCGACAGGGACATGGGGTGTGAAGCGACAGGGACATGGGGTGTGAAGCGACAGGGACATGGGGTGTGAAGCGAAGCAAACGCAACGTGTGAACAGGACTGTAAGGGGACCCTTTTATTTAGTGTAGACAGGAAGTTTGATTGGCATTCAGAGCGCTTTAAAAAGGCATCGCCAATGCCACGTTTTGAAGCGAGTGTAAGCGAACCCTTGCGCTTTTCTTGTCTTCCATGTTGTACAGATGACCGACACAGAGAGTCCTCCGGAGGAAACTACCAGACACCGAACACGAAGAGCCAGACCCGGGAGCGAGACTCCGAGCGCCAGAGCCAAAGGAAGCGCAAGCAGTCGCCGTCTCCTCCCTCCTTCTATGAGCGCAGTGCAAAAAGGGGCGAGGACAGGTAAGGAGACTGCGCATCTTTTTAAAGCTGGAACAAAAACTCCGCCCCGCTCTGACCTGAACCTAAAACTCCGCCCGCCCCCGCTCTGACCTGAACCTAAAACTCCGCCCTGCTCTGACCTGAACCTAAAACTCCGCCCCGCTCTGACCTGAACCTAAAAACTCCGCCCCGCTCTGACCTGAACCTAAAACTCTGCCCTGCTCTGACCTGAACCTAAAACTCCGCCCTGCTCTGACCTGAACCTAAAACTCCGCCCCGCTCTGACCTGAACCTAAAACTCCGCCCCGCTCTGACCTGAACCTAAAACTCCGCCCTGCTCTGACCTGAACCTAAAACTCTGCCCCGCTCTGACCTGAACCTAAAACTCCGCCCCGCTCTGACCTGAACCTAAAACTCCGCCCTGCTCTGACCTGAACCTAAAACTCCGCCCCGCTCTGACCTGAACCTAAAACTCCGCCCCGCTCTGACCTGAACCTAAAACTCCGCCCTGCTCTGACCTGAACCTAAAACTCCGCCCTGCTCTGACCTGAACCTAAAACTCTGCCCTGCTCTGACCTGAACCTAAAACTCCTCCCTGCTCTGACCTGAACCTAAAACTCCGCCCTGCTCTGACCTGAACCTAAAACTCTGCCCTGCTCTGACCTGAACCTAAAACTCTGCCCTGCTCTGACCTGAACCTAAAACTCCGCCCTGCTCTGACCTGAACCTAAAACTCTGCCCTGCTCTGACCTGAACCTAAAACTCTGCCCTGCTCTGACCTGAACCTAAAACTCCGCCCTGCTCTGACCTGAACCTAAAACTCCGCCCTGCTCTGACCTGAACCTAAAACTCTGCCCTGCTCTGACCTGAACCTAAAACTCCGCCCCTCTCTTTATCTGAACCTTTTTGTAGTCGTCGGTTTACAACATTTTTTTCGCACTACGAAGTGTATGTCGGTGCCGGCTATTTTTGTTCTTTGCTGTAGCTCACTGAATCAGCTGTCACTTTCCCTGGAGCTAAAGGAAACCGTTTCTTTTAAGAAACTAAAAGGAAACATTGTTTCTTTTATCTCAGGAAACAAACTAAAAGGAAACTTTGTTTCTTTTAGCTGGGGGGGAAAGTGACAGCTGATTCTCTGAGCTATAGTGAAGAAAAAAAAAAAAAAAAAGCCGGTAATTACATTTAAAAACTGCCACTGACGTATAATAACAGCGACTATTTTTTTTTTTTTTTTTTTTTTTAACTTTTTTTCTGACCTCCGAAACGGATTAATTGGTTTTCAACGCATTCCTATGGGAGACCGCATTTCGGTTTATGAATTATTCGCAATCCGAAACGTCATTACATTTGTAAACCGAGGTACGCCTGTAGTTGGTGCCGCTACTACAGTGATCTCCAATGGCATCCAGGTCCTGCTGCATTGTCAACGCAGGAGGTTGCTCGCTCAGCATGGCCGCCATTCAGGGAACACTTTGCATCTTCACAATGAATGCGAAGCATGCTCTGATCCTAGTGGGCTGTCCTTTCTCCTGGACTAATCAATGGTCACATTGTGAGCATGCTCAGACGAGGCGTACCGTGAGGCCAGGCTGCATGATGACGCATCCTCAGGGACAGATCCATGACCCCCTGGGCTGACAGGAACCCCCCCCCCCCCCCCCCGATCCAAGGCATAGGAGCTGGCTACACTGTGCTTTTGCTGTCCGTAGTTTAGTTCGCAGACCAAGAAAAAGTTCATTGTTGAAGCTTAAGTTTAATCAAAACCATTTCAAAAAGGAAAATCAGCGCAAGGAATAATTCTTACCATCAATGCTAAGTATGTCTCGTGCTGCTGGCTGCGGATTGGGTTGAAATTTTCAGTCCTCTGACTCCCGCGGACCAAAAGATTACGGCTGCAGGGGTGGGGGACCCCTGCAGCGGTAATCTTCTGGTCCAAGGGAGCTAATACGAGACATGTGCTATGTAGTCGTCGAGTGACAACCCTCCCTTTCCTCCCAACCCCCGCTCCTTAATTCATATTGGTTCGTGCTTGAGCTTCACCAGTGAATGGAGGATGAGCTGATGAATGAAAGGACCGCTTCCTCCTCCATTCAGAAAGGCACTTTTTTTCATTCACGGAAGTTATGGTACTGTTTCGGTGAATGGAGGAGGAAGGGGGTCAGGCGTAGTCGGCACCCTTGACATGTACAAGTGATAGGTCCTTTGGGGTGCCATCAGCACAAAGGACACTTTGCAATGATTGTATGTACTGTCCCATGTGCTGATTTTTTTTTTTTTTTTTTTTTTTTTTGATTAAACCTAGGCATTGAAGTGATATTAAAGGTTCCTTCTTTTTTCTTTTTGTTTTTTTGTTTTTTTGTTTGTTAAGAAAAATGTTTGGATTAAACCAAAGCATTGAAGTGATATTAAAGATTCCTTTTTTTTTTTTTAAATACCAAATATGTGATCTGTGTAACGGTTTTTGCACAGAGCAGTCCTGATCCTCTTCTTCTCGAGTCCCCCGCCAGCACTCCTGGCTCGTTCCTCTTGAGCAGTCCACCCAATAGCAAGCCGTTTGCTATGGGGGCATTGGTGCGTGATTGCTCCCGAGCCCCGCTGTATGGGTCCATAAGACACCTAGAGACGTGGCTTGGTCCCACCCTCCCATTCTCACTCTCTGCATTGGCTGACTGGCTGTGATTGATAGCAGTGGGAGCCAATGGCTCTCGGTGCTGTCCCAGCCAATGAGGGAGAGACAGACCCAGGACAGCCAAGGCTCCTGTGCACAGTGCTGGATCGGGCTCGGATAAGTATTAGAGGGGGTTCCTGGGGGGGGGGAGAAGCACACGGAAGGTTTCATCTTTACCTTCATGCGTAGTTTGTATGTATGTTGCGTGATGGCGCTCAATATTCACCTCACCGGTATGAAAGGGGGAGCGGTGTCCTCAGATGTCTCCAGTCATGTGGGTGTAATGTGAGGATGGACGCCGCTCTAACCGCTCGTGGGAGTCCTGCGTGAAGATGGCCTCAGCCGTCGCTAGACGAACGCATGAATGAGGCGGCCATACGTGGACCGGGCACGTTTCGATTCATGCATGGGCTGACATGTTACCATGTCCAGGCTAAATATGAACCTTCGTGCACATCGGAAGTGGTGTTCCTCCTGCATCACTCCGTTACTTCCTGCACTCACGATGACCACCCCCCGTGACCTCCTGCACTCCCGATGTTCACTCCATGACCTCCTGCAGTCCCGATGACCACTCCGTGACCTCCTGCGCTCATGATGACCACTCCGTGACCTCCTGCACTCCTGATGACCTCCTGCGCTCACGATGACTACTCCGTGACCTCCTGCACTCCTGATGACCTCCTGCGCTCACGATGACCACTCCGTGACCTCCTGCACTCCCGATGATCACTCCGTGACCTCCTGCACTCCTGATGACCTCCTGCGCTCACGACGACCACTCCGTGACCTCCTGCGCTCACGACGACCACTCCGTGACCTCCTGCGCTCACGACGACCACTCCGTGACCTCCTGCGCTCACGACGACCACTCCGTGACCTCCTGCGCTCACGACGACCACTCCGTGACCTCCTGCGCTCACGACGACCACTCCGTGACCTCCTGCGCTCACGACGACCACTCCGTGACCTCCTGCGCTCACGACGACCACTCCGTGACCTCCTGCGCTCACGACGACCACTCCGTGACCTCCTGCGCTCACGACGACCACTCCGTGACCTCCTGCGCTCACGACGACCACTCCGTGACCTCCTGCGCTCACGACGACCACTCCGTGACCTCCTGCGCTCACGACGACCACTCCGTGACCTCCTGCGCTCACGACGACCACTCCGTGACCTCCTGCGCTCACGACGACCACTCCGTGACCTCCTGCGCTCACGACGACCACTCCGTGACCTCCTGCGCTCACGACGACCACTCCGTGACCTCCTGCGCTCACGACGACCACTCCGTGACCTCCTGCGCTCACGACGACCACTCCGTGACCTCCTGCGCTCACGACGACCACTCCGTGACCTCCTGCGCTCACGACGACCACTCCGTGACCTCCTGCGCTCACGACGACCACTCCGTGACCTCCTGCGCTCACGACGACCACTCCGTGACCTCCTGCGCTCACGACGACCACTCCGTGACCTCCTGCGCTCACGACGACCACTCCGTGACCTCCTGCGCTCACGACGACCACTCCGTGACCTCCTGCGCTCACGACGACCACTCCGTGACCTCCTGCGCTCACGACGACCACTCCGTGACCACTCGTGACCTCCTGTACTCACAATGACCACTCCGTGACCTCCTGCACTCACAATGACCACTCCGTGACCTCCTGCACTCACAATGACCACTCCGTGACCTCCTGCACTCACAATGACCACTCTGTGACCACTCGTGACCTCCATTACTCACAATGACCACTCCGTGACCTCCTGCACTCACAATGACCACTCCCGTGACCTCCTGCACTCACAATGACCACTCCGTGACCACTCGTGACCTCCATTACTCACAATGACCACTCTGTGACCTCCTGCACTCACGATGACCACTCTGTGACCTCCTGCACTCACGATGACCACTCTGTGACCTCCTGCACTCACGATGACCACTCCCTGACCTCCTGCACTCACGATGACCACTCCGTTTCCTCCTGCACTCACAATGACCACTCTGTGACCTCCTGCACTCACGATGATCACTCCCTGACCTCCTGCACTCACGATGACCACTCCCTGACCTCCTGCACTCACGATGACCACTCCCTGACCTCCTGCACTCACGATGACCACTCCGTGACCTCCTGCACTCACGATGCCCACTCCATGACCTCCTGCACTCTAGACAGGTCGTGACCTCCATATTTTCTTTCAGCAGGTATGACACTCCCGCCACCTCCAAGAAGAAGAGTCGCCTTCAGGACCGGAATAAGCTGTCCACGGAGGAGCGCAGGAAGCTGTTCGAACAAGAAGTGGCCCAGCGCGAGGCTCAGAAGCAGCAGCAGCAGATGCAGAACATTGGCATGGCTTCTCCCATCTCTTATGAGTCTTTGCCGTACGGCACCCAGCTGCCCCCGCCTTACATGACCTACCCTCAAGGTTACCCCATGCAGTCCTTCATGGACCCCACCAATCCCAACGTAGGGAAGGTTCTGCTTCCCACTCCGCCCCTGGATACTGTCAATTCTCCCAACAGCTATGACCCCTCTCAAGGTATGGTCAACCCGGCCATGATGACTCCGCAGCCGGTCCCAGTGGTACAACATGTAGCAGCCCCTATGGACGTCCCCCACCCAGCAGTACGCCACGCAGCCCGAGCCTATGGTCCCACAGGACCCCAATGTGAATGTAATGCCAGTACCGGCCCCCAGCGCTGTGCCAACTCAGACCTATGGCGCCTGGGACCCCAAACAGTCGGCGGTGCCCGTTCAGCAGCATCAAGCTCAGCCTCAGTACCCACCACCCCCCTGCACAGCCTGCAATCTACTACCCAGGACAGCCCTGCTCGGCCATGTATGGGATGCCGGCCCCCTATCCTCAGACCACGCAAGCCATGGTGCAGGTAAGGACCATCTCTTTTCTGGGGTGGGGGGAACTATGTGACTTACTAATTCTGTGACTACCTGGTGGACACACAGGCCCCCTTGCTAGGCACACAGGCCCCCTTGCTAGGCACACAGGCCCCCTTGCTAGGCACACAGGCCCCCTTGCTGGGCACACAGGCCCCCTTGCTGGGCACACAGGCCCCCTTGCTGGGCACACAGGCCCCCTTGCTAGGCACACAGGGCCCCTCGCTGGACACACAGGCCCCCTCGCTGAGCACACAGGCCCCCTCGCTGAGCACACAGGCCCAAGGCCCCCTCGCTGAGCACACAGGCCCCCTCGCTGAGCACACAGGCCCCCTCGCTGAGCACACAGGCCCCCTCGCTGAGCACACAGGCCCCCTCGCTGAGCACACAGGCCCCCTCGCTGAGCACACAGGCCCCCTCGCTGAGCACACAGGGCCCCTCGCTGGACACACAGGGCCCCTCGCTGGACACACAGGGCCCCTCGCTGGACACACAGGGCCCCCTCGCTGGACACACAGGGCCCCTCGCTGGACACACAGGGCCCCTCGCTGGACACACAGGGCCCCTCGCTGGACACACAGGGCCCCTTTTCTGGGCACACAGGGCCCCTTTTCTGGGCACACAGGGCCCCTTTTCTGGGCACACAGGCCCCCTTTTCTGGGCACACAGGCCCCCTTTTCTGGGCACACAGGCCCCCTTTTCTGGGCACACAGGCCCCCCTTTGCTGGACTCACAGGCCCCCTTTGCTGGGCACACAGGCCCCCTTTGCTGGGCACACAGGCCCCCTTTGCTGGGCACACAGGCCCCCCTTTGCTGGGCACACAGGCCCCCCTTTGCTGGGCACACAGGCCCCCTTTGCTGGGCACACAGGCCCCCTCGCTGCACACATGGGGGTTTATTTACTAAAAGTGGAGAGTGCAAAATTTGGTGCCGCTCTGCATAGAAACCAATCCGCTTCCAGATTTTATTGCGTTCGTTTTATTATATTCACTTTTAATATCAGAATTATTAAAAGTAGCTTTTAGACAGTAATAAGAGATTAACCCTTTCCCCCACAAGATCTACCCTCTAGACCCCCTGCCGGGGAAGGTAGACCCCCCTGCCGGGCACGTAGACCCCCCCTGCCGGGCACGTAGACCCCCCTGCCGGGCACGTAGACCCCCCTGCCGGGCACGTAGACCCCCTGCCGGGCACGTAGACCCCCTGCCGGGCACGTAGACCCCCCTGCTGGGCACGTAGACCCCTTTGACGGACAAATATGAGGAAAGTGGGTGACTTGGCTGACCGTTTACACACATCAGAGGTGCAGTTTTAGGGGCCACTTGCTAAAATTGTGTATTTGTTGTTCAGGGTTACAGCCAGCCAGGCCTGCAGTACATGACAGGGCAGCAGATGTACGCACCTCACCCGCAGGGTGTCGTCATGCAGCAACCTCCGCCCGTGGCGGCCATCGTTCCTCCCGGACAGCCACCAGCATTGCAGCAGGTTTGTATTCTTCTCAGACCGGTGACCCCATCCTGTATTTTCTCCTGTCTAGAGTCCATGTATAACTGACCCGTTCTTGTATCCAATCACAGCCTGAGATGGGAATAGCTGGCAACAACATTATGGACCTTCCTCCACCTTCTCCACCCAAACCTAAAACCATCGTCCTTCCTCCCAACTGGAAGACCGCACGAGATCCAGAGGGGAAAATCTACTATTACCATGTAATAACCAGGTGAGCCGACAATGGACGCTTCATGGAGATCGGTCAGAGATGGCCGGGATGTCCGCCTGTTGTCTGTAATTGTGTCCGAAGGATCGCTGCATTTGTGATTGACCACTTCCAGTCCAGACACTTCCCCCCCCCCCCCCCCCCCCCCCTTCCAGTCCAGACACTTTCCTCCCCCTTCCAGTCCGGTCACTTTCCTCCCCCTTCCAGTCCGGACACTTCCCCCCCTTCCAGTCCGGACACTTTCCCCCCCTTCCAGTCCGGACGCTTTCACCCCCCTTCCAGTCCGGACGCTTTCACCCCCCTTCCAGTCCGGACGCTTTCCCCCCCTTCCAGTCCGGACGCTTTCCCCCCCTTCCAGTCCGGACGCTTTCCCCCCCTTCCAGTCCGGACGCTTTCCCCCCCTTCCAGTCCGGACGCTTTCCCCCCCCCCCCAGTTCCAGTCCGGACGCTTTCCCCCCCCTTCCAGTCCGGACGCTTCCCCCCCCTTCCAGTCCGGACGCTTTCCCCCCCTTCCAGTCCGGACGCTTTCACCCCCCTTCCAGTCCGGACGCTTTCACCCCCCTTCCAGTCCGGACGCTTTCACCCCCCTTCCAGTCCGGACGCTTTCACCCCCCTTCCAGTCCGGACGCTTTCACCCCCCTTCCAGTCCGGACGCTTTCACCCCCCTTCCAGTCCGGACGCTTTCACCCCCCTTCCAGTCCGGACGCTTTCACCCCCCTTCCAGTCCGGACGCTTTCACCCCCCTTCCAGTCCGGACGCTTTCACCCCCCCCCTTCCAGTCCGGACGCTTTCACCCCCCTTCCAGTCCGGACGCTTTCACCCCCCTTCCAGTCCGGACGCTTTCACCCCCCTTCCAGTCCGGACGCTTTCACCCCCCCCCTTCCAGTCCGGACGCTTTCACCCCCCTTCCAGTCCGGACGCTTTCACCCCCTTCCAGCCCGGACGCTTTCCCCCCCTTCCAGCCCGGACGCTTTCCCCCCCTTCCAGCCCGGACGCTTTCCCCCCCTTCCAGCCCGGACGCTTTCCCCCCCTTCCAGCCCGGACGCTTTCCACCCCCTTCCAGCCCGGACGCTTTCCACCCCCTTCCAGCCCGGACGCTTTCCACCCCCTTCCAGCCCGGACGCTTTCCACCCCCTTCCAGCCCGGACGCTTTCACCCCCTTCCAGTCCGGACGCTTTCACCTCTTTCCAGTCCGGACGCTTTCCCCCCCTCCCCCCCCCCCCCCCCCCCCCCCCCCCCCCCCCCCCCCAGGCCAGGCCAATTTTCAGCTTTCAGCGCTATCACACTTTGAATGAAAATTGTGCGGTCATGCAACACTGTACCCATATGACATTTTTTAGCATTTTTTTGAGCCTGTTGTCTGTAATTGTGTCCAAAAAATCCCTGCATTTCTGTGATTGACCACTTCCAGTCCGGACGCTTTCCCCCCCTTCCAGTCCGGACGCTTTCCCCCCCTTCCAGTCCGGACGCTTTCCCCCCCTTCCAGTCCGGACGCTTTCCCCCCCTTCCAGTCCGGACGCTTTCCCCCCCTTCCAGTCCGGACGCTTTCCCCCCCTTCCAGTCCGGACGCTTTCCCCCCCTTCCAGTCCGGACGCTTTCCCCCCCTTCCAGTCCGGACGCTTTCCCCCCCTTCCAGTCCGGACGCTTTCCCCCCCTTCCAGTCCGGACGCTTTCCCCCCCTTCCAGTCCGGACGCTTTCCCCCCCTTCCAGTCCGGACGCTTTCCCCCCCTTCCAGTCCGGACGCTTTCCCCCCCTTCCAGTCCGGACGCTTTCCCCCCCTTCCAGTCCGGACGCTTTCCCCCCCCTTCCAGTCCGGACGCTTTCCCCCCCTTCCAGTCCGGACGCTTTCCCCCCCTTCCAGTCCGGACGCTTTCCCCCCCTTCCAGTCCGGACGCTTTCCCCCCCCTTCCAGTCCGGACGCTTTCCCCCCCTTCCAGTCCGGACGCTTTCCCCCCCTTCCAGTCCGGACGCTTTCCCCCCCTTCCAGTCCGGACGCTTTCCCCCCCTTCCAGTCCGGACGCTTTCCCCCCCTTCCAGTCCGGACGCTTTTTTCCCCCCTTCCAGTCCGGACGCTTTCCCCCCCTTCCAGTCCGGACGCTTTCCCCCCCTTCCAGTCCGGACGCTTTCTTTCCCCCCCTTCCAGTCCGGACGCTTTCCCCCCCTTCCAGTCCGGACGCTTTCCCCCCCCTTCCAGTCCGGACGCTTTCCCCCCCCTTCCAGTCCGGACGCTTTCCCCCCCCTTCCAGTCCGGACGCTTTCCCCCCCCCCCCTTCCAGTCCGGACGCTTTCCCCCCCTTCCAGTCCGGACGCTTTCCCCCCCTTCCAGTCCGGACGCTTTCCCCCCCTTCCAGTCCGGACGCTTTCCCCCCCTTCCAGTCCGGGCGCTTTCCCCCCCTTCCAGTCCGGGCGCTTTCCCCCCCTTCCAGTCCGGGCGCTTTCCCCCCCTTCCAGTCCGGGCGCTTTCCCCCCCTTCCAGTCCGGGCGCTTTCCCCCCCTTCCAGTCCGGACACTTTCCCCCCTTCCAGTCCAGGCCAATTTTCAGCTTTCAGCGCTATCACACTTTGAATGACAATTGCGCGGTCATGCAACATTGTACCCATATGAAATTTTTTAGCATTTTTTTGAGCCTGATAAAAGTTTATTTTGGTGGTATTTATTCACCGCTGGGATTTTAATTTTTTTTGCTATGTAAATGAAAATGTCCAAAAATTTTGAAAAGTGTTTTTGTTATAAAATTTTATAAAATTTTGCAAATAATATTTCATCATAAATCTTGGCCAAAATGTATTCCAGTATCTTTTTAGTAAAAAAAAATACCCCAAATTAGTTTTAAACTTAAATTATAATTTTTAAACTTTTATTTTTACATTTTTATTTTATTTTTTTATATTGTGGGTTTTTTTTTATTTTTTTTACATACTGTCACCCTAGCAGTAGTGTCACCATGGTGACACTGTACTACTTGTGAGGGGTGATGAAGATTTTTGTTTTTTTACACTGATTGCTTTTACACCCATAAAGGCTGTAAAAGCAATCCTTTCTCTTTCTCTCTGGCTGCATTCCTGCAGCCATTGAGAAATACTGTATGTGCTGTGATTGGTCACAGCTTGTCACATGGTACAAGGCTGTTATGAATGGCCCTGTACCATGTGATCTCTGTAATCATTCACAGATTTCACACGTAGTAAGCAATGATGTCAGAAGTGACATCTTGCTTACTACTCTGCATGTGATCACTGATTGGCCAATCAGTGATCACATGATCGGGACCTCACACAGAGGTCCCGTATGACGATCGGGTTTCCACTGCGTCCGGAGGACACCGGATCACGTTGCTGCGGAGCGCGCACAAGCAGGGTGCGGGGAAGCCGTTTATAAATGGCCACCAGTTCCTGCACTGCCACCATCCAGCCGTTTTATATACAATGGCCGGACGGGAAGTGATTGAAGAGAGAGTTGGTGGGGACCTGAAATTCGAAAGCTGTGCCCAAAAAAAAAAAAAAAAGGCAAGTAGTGGGCAAAAGACTTATTTACTTTTGGTTTCTCTGCAGCTAATCGTTGTCTATTACCGACTTCTATGCTTTGTTCTGTGCTGTGTCCCTGTGTGGAGGTGGCCATCTTGTTAGAGGCAGGGCTTTGCTTCCTTATGTCAGAGCTTCCCCTCCCTGGTGACTGGTGATCTGATGAATAGTAGGGTCACCAGGAAGAAGCAGGAGGAGAGGGGGAGGAAGCACAGATCCACAGAACGAGTAAAATAGAAGCAGGGAGATCTTTGCATTGTGGGTCCTCCAGGTATGTTTTCCTCTCCAGCGAGGAGAACGGTGAGCAGCACAATAGTGATGTCACCAAATCTGGCGAGACTAGCAGTCAGTGGCAGCAGTGTCTAGATTTATTATTATTATTATTATACAGTATTTATAAAGCGCCAATAGTTCACTCAGCGCTGTACATTACAAAGGGGGGACAGAACATGTGACAGAACAATACCAATACAATGCAGAACATGAGGGGATGGAGGGCCCTGCTCCTTGGAGCTTACAATCTAGAAGGGATGGGATGGTGGTACAGGAGGAGATAGCTGTGGGGGATGGAGTGGTAGGAAGAGTGGAGGAGGTCAGCAAGTTAGAAGGGGGTGAGGTAGGCTTCCCTGAAGAGATGGGTTTTCAGGGTGCGCCTAAAGGAGAGGAGAGTAGGTGATAATCTGATGGGTTGGGGCAGGGAGTTCCAGAGGATGGGTGACACCCTGGAGAAGTCCTGGAGGCGGGCATGGGAGGAGGAGACCAGGGAACTAGAGAGAAGGAGGTCTTGTGAGGAGCAGAGTGTGCGTGTTGGGTGGTACTTGGATATTAGGTCGGTGATGTAGTTCGGGGCAGTATGGTGGACAGCTTTGTACGTCAGTGTTAGGATTTTAAATTTGATCCATTGCGCAATCGGAAGCCAGTGGAGGGATTGGCAGAGGGGGGTGGAGGACACTGAGTGGAGGCCACTGGAGGGATTGGCAGAGGGGGGTGGCGGAAATGGAGCGGTTGGAAAGGTGAATGAGTCTAGATCAAACTTTCTCAACCTCTTTCTCCCCCAGAGAAACCCCTAAAATTATTTTCAGGTCTGAAGGAACCCCCTGTTTAATCAGTTCATTGGGGGTCAGTGGGGAAAAGTGCACCCTACATTGGTGGCAAGTAGGACGAATGCCCTAGGTGCAGCGGTGGTCACAATGCCACCTTTATAGACATCTAAGAAGATTAATGGGGTCATGCTGCTGGCTCTGTCAAGTGGTATTGGCCCTGGAACTATGCAGACGTCATCAGAAGGGTGGTTAATCAGCCATTGCTGGAAGAACCCCTAGCAACCTTTGGAGGAACCCTGGTCTGTCCTAGATGATCTTACACTGCAGATATGTTACTGTAGGCACAACAAACGAACTGCTATTTTTTTGCACACAGTCGTCTGCAGGGCTTTGTGTAGGCCATATGAGTTCCTCAACACCAAACAGGTCAAACTATGTCTATATGGGGCTGTTGGTTGAGAAGACCTTGACCGTTCTAGTTCATTCAAAAGGTGTTCAGTAGTGCTGAGGTCAGGGCTGTGCAGAACAATAAAGTTCCTCCACACCAAACTGGTCACAACATGTCTTTATGGAGATGTTGGTTGAGAAAACCTTGGTCATTCTAGTTCATCCCAAAAGTGTTCAGGAAGATTGAGGTCAGAGCTGTGCAGGACAGTCAGGTTCCTCCACACCAAACGGGTCAAACCATGTCTATGTGGGGCTGTTGGCTGACAAGACCTTGATCATTCTAGTTCATCCCAAAGGTTGTCAATAGGTTTGAGGTCAGAGTTGTGTAGAACAATCAAGTTCCTTCACACCAAACTGGTCAAACCATGGCTTTATGGAGATGTTGGTTGAGAAGACCTTGACCTTTCTAGTTCATTCCAAAGGTGTTCAGTAGTGCTGAGGTCAGGGCTGTGCAGGACAATAAAGTTTTTGCTGTTGACTCATTAATTCCCATTTCTGTATAGGTAACATGGCATCTTTTGATCATCAGGTTTATGCCCTGCTTGCTTTTACGCAAGCAGTGATGCATTTTGCACAGTTGTGTGCAGGGCGCTTCATCAAATTCAAGGCTTTATGTAGGCCATTCAAGTTCCTCCACACCAAACAGGTCAAACCATGTCTATATGGGGATGTTGGTTGACCTTGGTCATTCTAGTTCATCCCAAAGGTGTTCAATAGGGTTGAGGTCAGAGCTGTGCATGCAGGACAATCAAGTTCCTTCACACCAAACTGGTCAAACCATGTCTTTATGGAAATGTTGGTTGAGAAAACCTTGGTCATTCTAGTTCATCCCAAAAAGTGTTCAGGAAGATTGAGGTCAGAGCTGTGCAGGACAATCAGGTTCCTCCACACCAAACAGGTCAAACCATATATATATGGGGCTGTTGGCTGACAAGACCTTGACCATTCTAGTTCATCTCAAAGGTGTTCAATAAGTTTGAGGTCAGAGCTGTGTAGAACAATCAAGTTCCTTCACACCAAACTGGTCAAACCATGTCTTTATGGAGATGTTGGTTGAGAAGTCCTTGACCGTTATAGTTCATTGCAAAGGTGTTCAGTAGTGTTGAGGTCAGGGCTGTGCAGGACAATAAAGTTCCTCCACACCAAACTGGTCACAACATGTCTTTAAGGAGATGTTGGTTGAGAAAACCTTGGTCATTCTGGTTCATCCAAAAGGTGTTCAGGAAGATTGAGGTCAGAACTGTGGAGGACAATAAACTTTGCTGTTGACTCAATTTCGATTTCTGTATAGGTACTATGGCATCTTTTGATCATCAGGCTTATGCCCTGCTTGCTTTGTGCAAACCGCATCCCTGCTTGCATAAGTCGTGTGCAGGGCGCTAAAGCAAATTCAAGGCTTTTGTGTAGGCCATATGTGTTCCTCCACTCCAAACAGGTCAAACCACGTCTTAATGGAGATGTTGGTTGAGAAAACCTTGGTCATTCTAGTTCATCCCAAAGGTGTTCAGGAAGATTGAGGTCAGAGCTGTGCAGGACAATCAGGTTCCTCCACACCAAACAGGTCAAACCATGTCTAATATGGGGCTGTTGGCTGACAAGACCTTGGTCATTCTAGTTCATCCCAAAGGTGTTCAGTAGGGTTGAGGTCAGAGTTGTGCAGGACAATAAAGTTCCTCCACACCAAACTGGTAAAAACATGTCTTTGGAATGATCTAGAATGACCAAGGTCTTCTCAACCAACATCTCCATAAAGACATGGTTTGACCAGTTTGGTGTGGAAGAACCGGATTGTCCTGCACAGCTCTGACCTCAACCATCCTGAACACCTTTGGGATGAACTAGAATGGCCAAGGTTTTCTCAACCAACATCTCCATAAAGACATGGTTTGACCAGTTTGGTGTGGAGGAACTTTATTGTCCTGGACAGCCCTGACCTCAGCACTACTGAACACCTTTGGAATGAACTAGAATGGTCAAGGTCTTCTCAATCAACATATCCATAAAGACATGGTTTGACCAGTTTGGTGTGAAGGAACTTGATTGTCCTACAAACAGCTCTGACCTCAACCCTATTGAACACCTTTGGGATGAACTAGAATGACCAAGGTCTTCTCAGTGGCCCAGTGCCATTAGTACAGTGTCAGGGCTTTTTATTAGCACTGATCACTGTATTGGTGTCATTGGGAATATCAGTGACAGTTAGTCCCCCCCCACTGTCAGAATGCCCGCCGCAGTCCTGCTATAAGTCGCTGATCGCCGCCATTACTAGTATTAAAAAAAAAAAAAAAAAAAATTCCATTGTGTATATATACCGCCATTTGTAAATGCTATAACTTTCACGTAAACCGATTAATTTACACGGTTTTTTATTTTTTTTTACAAAGACACGGAGCAGAATACATTTTGGCCAAAATTTATGACGAAATTTTTTTTTTTATTGGATATGTTTTATAGCAAAAAGTAAAAAATATATATTTTTTTCAAAATTGTCTTTTTTCGTTTATAGCGCAAAAAAAAAAAAAAACCGTAGAGACGATCAAATACCACCGAAAGAAAGCTCTATTTGTGGGGGGGGGAAATTATATAAATTGTGGTGCAGCGTTGCATGACTGCGCAATTTTCAGTTAAAGTAACGCAGCTCCGTATCGCAAAAAAAATGGCTTGGTCAGGAAGGGGGAGAAATCCTCAGGAGGGCGAGGGGTTAAATAAACATTTTTTACACGGTCTCTAATTTTTTTTCTTTTTTTACTCAACTTTATTGCTATCGAAAGGGATGAACAACATCCCTTGTGACAGCATGAGCCGTGACAGGTCCTCTTCATGGAGAGATCTGGGGTCTCTCCTCTGGCCTCCAATGCAGCTGATCAGGGAAAAAGGGACATAAATTGAATTTACATTTTTTATTTTTTTTTTTTAATTTAATTTTGTTTTTTATTGAACATATTTAATAACAAGAAGTCCAAAATATGTTTTTTTTTCTTTAAAATTGCCCTTTTTTTTTTCTCTCCCCCGAAGGGGGGGGTAAATATTCTGTTTAATCATTTTCTTACAAAAAAAAAAGTCGATTTTTACATGTATGTCTCTTATAATTGTACAGGCAAACGCAGTGGGACCCTCCGTCCTGGGACAACGCCGGAGAGGAGGGAGTGAGTCTGGATCACGAAGCCGAAATGGACCTGGGAACCCCGACCTACGACGAGAACCCCATGAAGGTGAATGCACTGCTCAGTAATGACGCTGGATGTACAATTTTATTAACCACTTCCAGTCCGGACACTTCCCCCCCCTTCCAGTCCGGACACCTCCCCCCCTTCCAGTCCGGACACTTTCCCCCCCTTCCAGTCCGGACACTTTCCCCCCCTTCCAGTCCGGACACTTTCCCCCCCTTCCAGTCCGGACACTTTCCCCCCCTTCCAGTCCGGACACTTTCCCCCCCTTCCAGTCCGGACACTTTCCCCCCCTTCCAGTCCGGACACTTTCCCCCCCTTCCAGTCCGGACACTTTCCCCCCCTTCCAGTCCGGACACTTTCACCCCCTTCCAGTCCGGACACTTTCACCCCCTTCCAGTCCGGACACTTTCCCCCCCTTCCAGTCCGGACGCTTTCCCCCCCTTTCCAGTCCGGACGCTTTCACCCCCCTTCCAGTCCGGACGCTTTCACCCCCCTTCCAGTCCGGACGCTTTCACCCCCTTCCAGTCCGGACGCTTTCACCCCCTTCCAGTCCGGACGCTTTCACCCCCTTCCAGTCCGGACGCTTTCACCCCCTTCCAGTCCGGACACTTTCACCCCCTTCCAGTCCGGACACTTTCACCCCCTTCCAGTCCGGACACTTTCACCCCCTTCCAGTCCGGACACTTTCACCCCCTTCCAGTCCGGACACTTTCACCCCCTTCCAGTCCGGACACTTCCCCCCCCCCCCTTCCAGTCCGGACACTCCCCCCCCCCCCCCCCCCTCCAGTCCGGACACTCCCCCCCCCCCCCCCCCCCCTTCCAGTCCGAACACTTTCCCCCCCTTCCAGTCCGAACACTTTCCCCCCCTTCCAGTCCGGACATTTTTACCCCCCTTCCAGTCCGGACATTTTTACCCCCCTTCCAGTCCGGACATTTTTACCCCCCTTCCAGTCCAGGTCAATTTTCAGCTTTCAGCGCTATCACACTTTGAATGACAATTGCGCGGTCATGCAACACTGTACCCATATAAATTTTTTAGCATTTTGTTGGGACAGATAAAACTTTATTTTGGTGGTATTCATTCACCGCTGGGATTATTATTTTTTTTTTGCTATGTAAAAGAAAAAGTCCAAAAATTTTGAAAAAAAGTGTTTTTCTTATAACATTTTGCAAATCAATAATATTTCATCATAAATCTCGGCCAAAATTTATTCCGTTATCTTTTTTAGTAAAAAAAAAAATAATCCAAATTAGTTCATAACCAAACATAATTTTTAAACTTTTTTTTTTTACATACTGTCACCCTAGCAGTGCAGTCACCATGGCGACACTACTACTTGTGGGGGGTGATGAAGATTTTTTTTTTTACACCCATAAAGGCTGTAAGAGGAATCATTTCTCCTTATCTCTGGCTGCATTCTTGCAGCCATTGAGAAATACTGAGTGAGCTGTGATTGGTCACAGCTTGTCACATGGTACAAGGCTGGAAAAAAAAATTAAAAAATATAATAAATTTTTTTAAATTTTAAATTTTTTTAAATTAACAATGTGAATGGCCCTGTACCATGTGATCTCTGTGATCATTCACAGATTTCACACGTAATAAGCAATGATGTCAGAAGTGACATCTTGCTTACTACTGTTCATGTGATCACACAGAGGTCCCGTACGACGATCGGTGTAGGGATGACACAGCGGGCACCGGATCGCGGTGCTGCGCACTCCCAGGGGGGCATGGAGGCTGCTTATATACATGGGCCGGACGGGAAGTGGTTAAAAAGTACAGAAAAAAAAATCCAGTTGATCATGCCAGAAATCTGGCGTCCTTGTAACTTCCTGTGCGCTGAAATGAAATCTCGCCTTTCCTGGCGATCTGTCACCCTGAGACAGGAAATGTCAGGCAGGGTCACTATATTGGTGGGAAAAAAAAAAGAAATGTAGACGCCACATCTAAGGACCTGTAAGTTGCATTGTTTAGATCGATTCTACAGGGATTGATGATGGGACTGCAGTCTCGTGTCACATGATGCTATAATGCATGGATCGGCAGACTTTGTAAACGGAAGGTCGGTTTACTGTCCTTCAAAGTTTAGGGGGGCCGGACTGGCCAGTGGGGGAGGAAAATGTCCTGGCGTCAGTGGGAATAAGCAATGCCTCATCATCGGTGTCAGTGGGAGGAATTGTGCCCCATCATTGGTGTCAGTGGGAGGAATAGTGCCCCATCATTGGTATCAGTGGGAGGAATAGTGCCCCATCATTGGTGTCAGTGGGGGGAATAGTGCCCCCATCATTGGTGTCAGTGGGGGGAATAGTGCCCCATCATTGGTGTCAGAGGGAGGAATAGTGCCCCATCATTGGTGTCAGTGGGGGGAATAGTGCCCCATCATTGATGTCAGTGGGAGGAATAGTGCCCCATCATTGGTGTCAGTGGGAGGAATAGTGCCCCATCATTGGTGTCAGTGGGAGGAATAGTGCCCCATCATTGGTGTCAGTGGAAGGAATAGTGCCCCATCATTGGTGTCAGTGGGAGGAATAGTGCCCCGTCATTGGTGTCAGTGGGAGGAATAGTGCCCCAACATTGGTGTCAGTGGGAGGAATAGTGTCCCATCATTGGTGTCAGTGGGAGGAATAGTGCCCCATCATTGGTATCAGTGGGAGGAATAGTGCCCCATCATTGGTATCAGTGGGAGGAATGGTGCCCCATCATTGGTATCAGTGGGAGGAATAGTGCCCCATCATTGGTGTCAGTGGGAGGAATAGTGCCCCATCATTGGTGTCAGTGGGAGGAATAGTGCCCCATCATTGGTGTCCGTGGGAGGAATAGTGCCCCATCATTGGTGTCAGTGGGAGGAATAGTGCCCCAACATTGGTGTCAGTGGGAGGAATAGTGCCCCAACATTGGTGTCAGTGGGAGGAATAGTGCCCCAACATTGGTGTCAGTGGGAGGAATAGTGTCCCATCATTGGTGTCAGTGGGAGGAATAGTGTCCCATCATTGGTGTCAGTGGATGGAATAGTGCCCCATCATTGGTATCAGTGGGAAGAATGGTGCCCCATCATTGGTGTCAGTGGGAGGAATAGTGCCCCATCATTGGTGTCAGTGGGAGGAATAGTGCCCCATCATTGGTATCAGTGGGAAGAATGGTGCCCCATCATTGGTGTCAGTGGGAGGAATGGTGCCCTATCATTGGTGTCAGTGGGAGGAATAGTGCCCCATCATTGGTGTCAGTGGGAGGAATAGTGCCCCATCATTGGTGTCAGTGGGATGAATAGTGTCCCATCATTGGTGTCAGTGGGAGGAATAGTGTCCCATCATTGGTGTCAGTGGGAGGAATAGTGCCCCATCATTGGTGTCGGTGGGAGGAATAGTGTCCCATCATTGGTGTCGGTGGGAAGAATAGTGCCCCATCATTGGTGTCAGTGGGGGGAGGAATAGTGCCCCATCATTGGGAACAAGAATGTCCCTTACATTGGAGGTCAGTGGGAAGAATGTCCCTTACATTGGGGGGTCAGTGGGAAGAACGTCCCTTACATTGGGGGTCAGTGGTGGAAGAATGTCCCTTACATTGGGGGTCAGTGGGAAGAATGTCCCTTACATTGGGGGTCAGTGGGAAGAATGTCCCTTACATTGGTGGTCAGTGGTAAGAATGTACCTTACATTGGGGGTCAGTGGGAAGAATGTCCCTCACATTGGGGGTCAGTGAGAAGAATGTCCCTCACATTGGGGGTCAGTGGGAAGAATGTCCCTTACATTGGGGGTCAGTGGGAAGAAGGTCCCTTACATTGGGGGTCAGTGGGAAGAATGTCCCTTACATTGGGGGGTCAGTGGGAAGAATGTTCCTTACATTGGTGATCAGTGGGAAGAATGTCCCTTACATTGGGGGTCAGTGGGAAGAATGTCCCTTACATTGGGGGTCAGTGGGAAGAATGTTCCTTACATTGGGGGGTCAGTGGGAAGAATGTCCCTTACATTGGTGATCAGTGGGAAGAATGTCCCTTACATTGGGGGTCAGTGGGAAGAATGTCCCTTACATTGGTGATCAGTGGGAAGAATGTCCCTTACATTGGGGGTCAGTGGGAAGAATGTCCCTTACATTGGTGGTCAGTGGGAAGAATGTCCCTTACATTGGGGGTCAGTGGGAAGAATGTCCCTTACATTGGGGGTCAGTGGGAAGAATGTCCCTTACATTGGAGGTCAGTGGGAAGAATGTCCCTTACATTGGGGGTCAGTGGGAAGAATGTTCCTTACATTGGTGATCAGTGGGAAGAATGTCCCTTACATTGGTGATCAGTGGGAAGAATGTCCCTTACATTGGGGGGGTCAGTGCGAAGAATGGTCCTTACATTGGTGGTCAGTGGGAAGAATGTCCCTTACATTGGGGGGGTCAGTGCGAAGAATGGTCCTTACATTGGTGGTCAGTAGGAAGAATGCACCTTGAAACGTGAAAATGGGAACTAGCACTTTAAAGGTGGAGTTGGCATTTAAACATTCCTTTGTGGTGACAGGTTCTCTTTCCCGCGTAGTAGCCACATACATAAATACTTATGGCCACCATTACTACGTATCAGCCATCGGAGGTGGACATTACCAGGCTGCTCTGCACAGTAAACCACTCAAGAGCCAGGGCTGAAGGTACACATTTAGGTAGGTGGCTGCCACTCGAGGGGGTTAGGGGGAACATTTGATGTGACGTTTCCTGACGTTGCACTTTTGAGGTCCTCTTCTGTTGTTTGACTTTTGGGGTCGCCTTACAGCCATGTGACTGTCATCCTCCAATTTAAACTCTCTGAACCTGTCTGCCTAATCTGCGAATTTGTGATTTCTCCTCAAAGCCGTTACGTGGTTTCTGCATAAAGCGAAAACAGATTGTTCCCTTCCCAGGAGGAAATGATCTGCAGTCTCCCGTCCTGGCCGCTTTCCTTCTGGTTTTCCTTTTGTTGACTTAACGGGCCTGAAATGTGCTCAGTTTGGTCACCGGCCAACGTCGAGCTGGTGTGAGGCCGCCGGTTCACATTGGTTCTCTCGGCGATACGATCTGAGGT